AGCTGGGTGGGGGAAACCTGGAAGTTTTCAGATTCGGGTTTTCCCAGATGTGCCAACATGACATCTCTAATAAATTGGAACTTTGAGGAACCTCAGGCCTCAGAGCTTTATTTCGTTGGGGGTGTTCCTTGGAACCCTGACATGGGGACTGCAGCCAAGAAATTAAAAGACGCTTGCTCCTGGGGAGGAAAGCTCTGGCAAATCTAGACAGCATACTAAAAAGCAGAGACATCACCCTGCCAACAAAAGTGCGTATAGTCAAGGCTATGGTTTTCCCAGTTGCAATGTATGGCTGTGAAAGTTGGACCATAAGAAAGGCTGAGCGCCAAAGAATTGAAACCTTTGAACTATGGTGCTGGAGAAGACTCCCTTGAACTGCAAGGTGATCAAATTGGTCAGTCCTAGAGGAGATCAACCCTGACTCCTCTTTAGAAGGCCAGATCCTGAAGATGAAACTCAAATATGGCTGTCTTTAGAAGAGCATATGATGGCCGTGGCAAGGGGGGCCTTTTATCAGGTTCGCCTGATTCGCCAGTTGCAGCCCTTTCTGGACTGGGACGCCTTGCGCACGGTCACTCACGCCCTTGTCACCTCCTGGCTGGACTATTGTAATGCTCTCTACATGGGGCTCCCCTTGAAGAGCACTCGGAGGCTCCAACTGGTCCAGAATGCGGCCGCACGGGTGGTTATGGGCGCAACTCGTTGTGCCCACGTGACACCCTTCCTGTGCGAGCTGCACTGGCTCCCAGTGGTCTTCCGGGTGCAATTCAAGGTGTTGGTCACCACCTTTAAAGCGCTCCATGGCATAGGACCCGGGTACCTTCGAGACCGACTTCTGCCACCAGTAGCCTCCCACCGGCCAGTTCGCTCCCACAGAGAGGGTCTCCTCAGGGTGCCATCGGCCAAGTTATGTCGGCTGGCGACATCCAGGGGGAGGGCCTTCTCTGTGGGAGCCCCAGCCCTGTGGAATGAACTGCCCCCGGAAATACGTAAGATCTCCGACCTCCGGGTATTTCGCTGTGCACTCAAGACCCTGTTGTTCCGCCAGGCTGGGCTATCAACATAATAATTTTAAATTGGGTGTTTTAAATTTCTGGGGTTTTAAATTGAGCCGAATTATTTAATAATTTTAAATTATTTTAATTGATGTTTGTCTTGTGTTTTTAAATAGGCTGTACACCGCCCTGAGTCCTTTGGGAGAAGGGCGGTATAGAAATAAAATTATTATTATTATTATTATTATTATTATTATTATTATTATTATTATTATTATTATTATTATTATTATTATTATTATTATTATTATTATTTATTGGTTAATCTTTAGTGAGATTCACAGCCTTTGAGGCTGGTTAATAGCTCAGCAGCTCGAGTCCTAACCAAGGACCTAGGAACTGTTAAGGTATCATCGGAGGATGTAAGCTGTTCCGAGTAAGGTGGTTTTTTGTAGAGTCAAAATGTTCAAGTCCGGCAAATTTAGAATTTCTAAATAGCGGGGTAGCCCTTTGGGTATTGCTCCGAGGGCTCCAATTACAATCGGGACAACACACGATTTCTTTTTCCACAGTCGCTCAACTTCAATTTGTAAGTCCCGGTACTTATATTATTATTATTATTATTATTATTATTATTATTATTATTATTACCCCTGGAACACTTCAAATCAATGGAGAAAACCTAAAGAAGGTGGGCATTTTTCAGTATCTGGGTTCCCATCTCCAAGGCAATGGTGACATCAATGGTGAGGTGCGAGCAAGGGTGAATGCAGCCTGGATGCGCTGGTGAGAACTCACCCGTGTGTGATGTGATAGATGAATGCCAATCCGTTTTAAATGCAAGATTTACAAGACAACCATCCGCCCTGTTGCACTGTATCGCACTGAATGCTGGGGAGCAACAACAGGGACCGAAAGCTCTCTCCATGCCATGGAAATGCGAATGCTCCATTGGATATCGGGCATCTCCCTTCTTGACCACATCACAAATGACACCATTCGACAATGTTTTGGTGTGGCACCAATTATAGAGAAGATGAGAGAAGGCCGACTCCGCTGGTATGGGCATGTCCAGAGAGCAGCACCTCCCACCGTGGCCAAGACTGCCTAGCAACTAGAAGTCAATGGCCGGCGACCTCGTGAGCATCCAAAACAGAGATGGCAAGACATCATCAACAAAGATATGCAAGCTGCGGGCCTGTGCCTTGGAGACACAGCTGACCGTGCAAAGTGGCGTTCAATGATCCAAAAAGCGATTCACTTAACAACTGTGGCAAAATTGTTGTAAAATTAGGCACCATTCAATTAGCAAGTGTCTTGCTTGGCAGTAGAATAATCTGATCTGTTTTGTGGTCGTACTTGATGATTTATCTGTATCTGTATTTGCATCAACATTTTTTTTTGTTTCAATATGTAACTGTAATAAGAGCCTTGGTAGTACAGTGGTTTAATGCACCCTGTAATTAACACAGCTGCCTGCAATTTCTGCAGGTTCGAATCTTACCAGGCTCAAGGTTGACTCAGCCTTCCATCCTTTCTAAGGTAGGTTAAATGAGGACCCAGTTTGTGGGGGCAATAAGCTGACTTTGTATAAATATACAAAAGTATGAAGGCTATTGCTTAACACATTGTAAGCCGCCCTGAGTCTCCGGAGAAGAGCGGCATATAAATCAAATTAAAAAAAAAAAAAAAGTAATTGAAACGGTTTCTTTTTTTAACTTGGGTAGTTAGTATCAATGGTTTTAGTACAGGTAGTCCTCCACTTACGACAATTGAGCCCAAAAATTCCGTTGTTAAGTGAGACATTTGTTAAGTGAGTTTTACCCCATTTCGTGACCTTCCGTGCCACAGTTGTTAAGTGAATCATTGCAGTTGATAAGTTAATACCCCAGTTGTTAAGCGAATACGGCTTCTCCATTGACTTTGCTTGCCAGAAGGTCGCAAAAGGGGATCACATGACCTTGGGGTACAGTTAACGGTCATAAATATGAAGCAGTTGTCAAGCATCTGAATTTTGATCACACGATCAAAGGTTGTAACTTTGAAAAATGGTAATGTGTCACATTTTTCAGTACGGTTGTAACTTTGAATAGTCACTAAATGAACTGTTGTAAGTCGAGGATTACCTGTATAGGATAAGATATAGCAGTGATGGCAAACGTTGTGCGGAAATGTCACACGTGCGTGCGCTTGTCAGGCCATGCACCGGAAAAGCTGAACTCCCGGGTTACAGCATACATGTGTACCCGACGATCAGCTGGCTGTGCGAAGGACAGCTGATTATCGCATGCACATATACATCAGAAACCCGGAAAACAATCAGGCAAGACCGTGTGTGCCAAGCGACATGACTTTGTGTGCCACTTTGGGCATGCATGCCATAGATTCGCCATCACGGAGATATAGTATTCAATGGCAAGAGACAAAAGTACAAGGAACTACTCAATGCACAGTCATGAACTAAAATGTATCCGATAGGAAATCTATATAAGACATCAATCCCGGGTTTTTTTCTAACCTCTTCCCCAGTAGCTTCCCTCTACTTCCAGAACAATTAAAACTTTTTCCCCAAATAAGGAGTTGTGAGGACACTTGTTTCAGTCTCTGGCTTTGACCAGATGGGAAACAATGGCAAACAAACCTTGTCATTTCATGAGTTATAGCAATAGCAATAGCACTTAGACTTATATACTGCTTTAAGCAGTTTAGAGTCAGAATATTGCCCCCAACAATCTGGGTCCTCATTTTACCCATCTCGGAAGGATGGAAGGCTGAGTCAACCTTGAGCTTGGTGAGATTTGAACTGCCAAATTTCAGGAAGCTGGCAGTCAGCAGAAGTAGCCTGCAGTACTGCACTCTAACCAGGGGTGGGTTCTAAAACTTTTTACTACCGGTTCTGTGGGCGTGGCTTATTTTGTGGGCTTGGCTTGATGGTCATGTGACAATTCTTTAGGATTTAGCAGAGGTACTGGTTTACCACGCTTTTAACTGCTTGCAGAGCTGTACCGGTCTACTCATTTGTTTTTGGAGGCACAGGTCTACCCATTTATTTTTGGAGACACCGGTCTACCACCACACTGCCTTTTAACACTGATCAGCTGTAGGGCGGCCCTTTGAAGCCCCACGGCAAGAGTTTTAACAGTTTTTTTTCTTTCTAGCCGATCAGCTGGGACTCGAGAGGCAGGAATAGATTGGGGGTGGGGCCAAATAAAAGGTAAGAATTGGGGGGAGGGAGGGCCCAGCTCCCGAACAAAGAGAACCGGTTCGGTGATGTCATATCGTCACCGCTATCGGCTTGGCCGAACCGGGAGGAACCCACCACTGACTTTAACCAATACAGCACCACGGACCATGGATAAAAACATCTCATTTACACCTGGAGATCGAGGATAAAAGAAAAGAGGGAAAATTATCTATAATTTTACAAAAGATACAGCCCCAGAAAGTAGCATGTTCCAAGAGAAAGAGGTTAAAAAACTCATTCCAAATAGATTCTTCAATAATTACATTAAGAGAGAACTCTAGCCAATTTTTTGAATAATTAGGTAAAATAGGCTTGTGGAGATAAGGAAGTGGGTATTAGCCTTTATTAAAATTGGAGTTCATTGAGGTATTTGTGTTATCGGTCAGTTTCACACTATTATGAAAACATTTTTAATTAATTAATGCAGTTCATCCAAACTCACATTGTTGTGAGTTTAGGGTCAGTCCTGGTATTCAGAGTTTGTACATATGTGAGGCGTTTCTCCCAAGAAATAAGATCTCTTACAGGAAAATAAGGGCCTAAATTCAAAGGGCTATTTGAATCTTTTCTCCCAGTGGATATTTTTATTCTCCCACGTGGTTTCTTTTAGGCCTAATCATGTTACTCCTCTGATTGAACATTTCTCCACAGTACACATATTTCTATTATTTTTTTCCCGTAAGGGTCCTTTTTTCATGAGAAAAGATTTGGAAGGAAAGCTTCAGTCTTACGGCTTTTCTCGGGTGTGGATTCTTTCGTGCTGCGAAAGGTGATTGGTCTGGTTGAAGCTTTTCCCGCAGTCTGCGCATTTGTAGGGTTTCTCTCCCGTGTGGATTCTTTTGTGTTTGACGAGGTTCGCGTTCTGCGTGAAGCTCTTTCCGCACTCTGTGCATTTGTACGGTTTTTCTCCTGTGTGGATCCTTTTATGGCAAAGGAAATTACTGTATTTACAGAAGCTCTTTTCACAGTCTGTGCACCTGTAGGGTTTCTCCCCCGTGTGGATTCTGACGTGGATTCTGAGACCTGAACGTCCACCGAATTTCTTTCCGCATTTCAAGCATTTATACGGTTTCTCCCCCGTGTGGGTTCGTTGATGTCTTGTGAGGCAATCCCTATAGGAAAATCTCTTTCCGCACTCTCTGCATTTATATGGCTTCTCTCCTGTGTGTTTTCTTCGATGCGACGTAAGCCGACTGCTTTTATTAAAACCCTTTCCACACTCCAGGCATTTATATGGTTTCTCTCCCGTGTGAATCCTTTTATGACAAATCAAGTCACTACTGCAACTGAAACTCCTTCCACACTCCTTGCACTGGTACGGCTTCTCCCCCGTGTGAATCCGTTGGTGTTGCAAAAGCTTATAGTTCTGATTGAAGCATTTCCCGCACTCTGCGCATTTATAGGGATTTTCTCCCGTGTGAATTTTTTTATGCTGCAAAAGGCTACCATTGTGACCGAACCTTTTCCCACACTCCACGCACCGGTACGGTTTTTCTCCCGTGTGAATCCTTTTATGGCAAATAAATTGACTGCTCTGATTGAAACTCTTTCCACATTCCGGGCACGTATAGGGTTTTTCCCCAGTGTGAATTCGTTTATGTTGCAAGAGGTTGCTTTTCTGACTGAAGTTTTTTCCGCACTCCAAACATTGGTAGGGTTTCTCTCCTGTATGGATCCTCTTGTGTTCCACAAGGTGACAGCTTCTCCTGAAGTTCTTCCCACACTCCAGGCACTTGAATGGTTTTTCTCCCGTGTGGGTCCTTGTGTGGCAAACGAGGACACTGTTGTCGCGGAAGCTCTTTCCACATACCGTACATATGTACGGTTTCTCCTCCGTGTGGCTCTTTATGTGCTTCACCAGATTTGAACGTCCACTGAACTGCCTTCCACACTGCAAGCACGTATATGGTTTCTCCCCCGTGTGTAATCGTTGGTGTCTCGTAAGGTGACCGCTTTGACTGAATCTTCGTCCACACACCAGGCATACATACGGTTTCTCCCCTGTGTGTGTCCGTTCATGGATGATCAAATTTCCTCTCTGGGCAAATGTCTTTTCACACCTCAGACATTCATAAGGTTTCTCCCTTGGGGGAATTTTGGGGGGTAAAATACGTAATTGTTTCTTACTGAAATTCACTCTACGCTCATATGGTTTCTCCTCTTTATGGGAAATTATATGACTGAAATTGAAATTCTCCTCACAATTTATAAATGCATATGGTGTCTCTTGGATGTATGATGGGCGATGTAAATCAAGGTAGGGGGTAGAGCTGATTCTTTGCCCATCCTCTTGATATTCATATTGTTCTTCTTCGGTCTGGATTACAGAATATTTAATGAAATCAGAGTTCTCTTTGTCTCCTTTGCCACATGTGACATATTTTCCCTCTTCTTCTTGTTGGTCAACTTCCCGGGTTCGGAGATAAAGGACTTCATTGTATGCAGGAGATTCCTCCCCACCACTCACTTTACAGATTTTCCTAATCCCTTGTGATGGTTCTTGATCTACAAGCGACTTGATCATTTGCTCCCTGTAGTTCTCGTGCTCTTGTCCATAAGCTGATTTGAAGGAAGAAAAAGCCACAAAAAGAAAAAAAAAGTAAGTCTTATAACTTGTTCATGAACAAAAAGTGCTGCAAACATTGTTTCTCACATAAACAATTTTTTGCTGGTTTCGTCTATGTATACCTAGAAAACACTAAATTCATCATTTCCTTTAAATGCCTTATGAATGCTGAGAAGATGCTAAACTGCTAATGCATGTGGTATCACTGCAGAAATGTTAAAATATGAATTTAAATTGCTTGTGTAGTCATGGCATAACGGTTTAAAGTACAAACCAGATTCACTGCTACTTACGTTCTTGAAATCGTAGTTTCCAGACAGCACCTTCTCTTAACAGTAGCCTATACAACTATCTTGGGCTGAAGCACTCAAGGGAAAAAACGCCACTTATTCTCAGCCTTGAGGGAAGTTTAAAAATTATTTACTCAGAGCCAAAAGAAAGGCCCTTTGACATAACAGCCAGTATGAAAACCATCACTGATTTTCAGACAACCTAAGAAACTGGGGGATTGTAAAGAACAGATGTCAAGAGACATTCAGGTCAGTACTTTCTGTACTGGGTTACCACCTTTAGAGCGCTCCATGGCTTAGGACCTAGGTACTTACGAGACCGCCTTCTGTCACCGGTAGCCTCTCACCAGCCAGTACGCTCCCACAGAGAGGGGCTCCTCAGGGTGCCGTCGGCCAAACAGTGTCGACTGGCGGCCCCCAGGGGGAGAGCCTTCTCTGTGGGGGCACCTGCCCTTTGGAACAAGCTCCCCCTGGAGATACGGAGGATCCCGGATTTACCGACTTTCCGCCGTGCCCTCAGGACTTTTTTATTCCAACAAGCGGGGCTGGCCTAACTCTTTTTAATTGTTCAGTTTTAATTTTAATTTGTTTCCTAAAAAACAGGGGTGTTTTAATTAGTATGGGCCAAATTTATTTAATATGTTTTTAAATTGTTTTTTTTTAAATTTTATATTGTATCTGTTTTATCTTTGGCTGTTCACTGCCCTGAGTCCTTCGGGAGTAGGGCGGTATATAAATCTAAATAAACTCAAACTCAAACTTTCCTCTCCTGAAGCTGTTTGGGTTACCTGCTCTACAATCAGATCAGAAAGAAACTACAATCTTCCTCAAATAATAAAGGTTGCATAAAGCAGGGGTCTCCCACCTGTGGTCCGTGGCCCACTACCAGACCGCGGGCCAATTGCCACTGGGCCGCGTGAGAGGATGGCCCACTCGTGTGAATCTCGTGATGGATCCACTTGTGCAAGCGTCGTCATGGGCACTCACAGCCCCACGTGTGCAAGCCTTCTCGCGGGCGCTCATGGCCCATGCTCGTATTGCTGCAAATGTTGTGGGCGTTCGTGCATGCGCATACAGACACACGTCACAAAATCATCCTCTCTTTTCCCCCTCCCCTCATTCCAGGCTGCCAATCCGGTAAGGTTGGGGAACTGTGTAATAAAGTATCTCTAGTATCAACTTGTACCTAAATTTATTTTGATCTTAGAAATAAAAAGGGCCAGAATGCCCTTTTTCTAGCTAAAAGGTGTCATCTCCGGATACCGTCGGCCAAACAATGTCGACTGGCGGCCCCTAGAGGGACAGCCTTCTCTGTGGGGGCACCTACGATCTGGAACGAGCTCCCCCCGGAGATACGGAGGATCCCGGATCTGTGCACCTTCTGTCGCGCGCTTAAGACTTTTTTATTTCATCAAGCTGGCCTGGCCTAAATCTTCTCCCCTTTTTAAATGTAAATTTTAATTTGTTTTTAAATTATGGGGTATTTTAAATTTGCCTCAGCCAAATTATTTAATTCGTTTTTATTCTATTTAAAATTTTTGTATTTATGGGTTTTATTCTGTGGCTGTTCACCGCCCTGAGTCCTTCGGGAGTAGGGCGGTATAGAAATCCAATTAAATAAATAAATAAATAAATCTCACCACAAGGATAACAAACGATTTCCACAATTCTTTGAACCCACAGCAAAGTGGAGCCTTACCCAGAGTGGCCACATTCCTAAAATTCTCCAGCATGACTTCCCCATGCAAGGCTCTCTGGCTGGGATCCAGCAGCGCCCACTCCTCCTCCGTGAAATACACAGCCACGTCCTCGAAGGACACCGAATCCTAAAAGTCAAACGAAACATTCCTTAACAGAGACTCCAGAATGTTCTCTCCCAGATTTTCCAACATCCTAAAAATGAATTTTGCAAGAGAGAATAATGCTCCTCTTTCGGACATGATTTTATTTTATTTTTATTTTATTCGGCTTATATGCCGCCCTATCTCACAATGGACTCAGGGCGGCTCACAACAATAAAACACAAGCCACAATATAAAATAAAGACCAAAATCTAAAAAATTTAAAATTAACCTGATACCAGGTTTTATGGCTGCCTTTCCGAAGATTTCATATTTCATATGTACGACTTAATCTGACTAGGATTTAATGTTAATGCTGTTCTCCTGCTATAAATAGGTTTCTCTGGTTGTTTTGTGAGTACTCCCAACTAATATATTAATAATAGTGAATACACAAAAGAGCTGATTCTTCTTCTCGCACATGCCTAACATTGCGAGGCATTTGTTTTAAGGCACAAAAATCCGCAAACGTTACAAGTGATTCCACGGATATATTCAGCTTCTCAGTATGTTGCGCTTTAACAGCTAACTTGGAAACAGGAGCGTGCCAATGAATCCTGATCTCAACACTTGACTTCCTTATCTGCGTTGAGTCTCATGACAGAACCAGATCCCAAAATGTTTCCCTGTTCTTCTAAAGCTTCCTTACCTGAGCTGTAGCTGATCCATGACGACGAGGATTTTGATCCTCCTCAGAGATGCTTCCCCATAGCTGCTTCATAGGGGAGGGATGGGAGAGACCTTCTCTTCCTTCAGGAGTTACCAAGACTGACTGCTTCAGAGGCTCCTGCATCTGAAATTAACAGACAGAAAAATAATTAAATTAAATTAAAACAACTGAACATAGGATGAAGGGGATTCTTCTCTCCCACCACAACCCAAATGGACCACATTATATAGCAATATACATGGAACTGGTCCCTGGTCCCGAAACATTTCGGGGCCTCTAGACTAAAAGATCAAGGATGCTCCGAACTTTAGGAATCAATGATGGAGGAATTCTTGCTATGAATATCTTATTATGCCCCTGCTAAGAAATAGCAATAACTATTATAGCAATAGACTTATATACTGCTTCACAGCCCTCTCTAAGCGGTTTACAGAGTCAGCCTGTTGCCCCCAACAATCTGGGTCCTCATTTTACCGAACTCGGAAGGGCAACCTTATATCCATCGTTGGCGATGCAAATTCCCTTCGGATACTTCTCCATCCTGTGGAATAATCTGGATGGGGGAAAGCAGGACTGAAAATCCTGTGACCACGGAGATGCCGCAACAGTCATTAACTGTGAAAAATGGTCATAAATCACTTCTTTCCCAGTGCTGTTGTCACTTCGAACGGTCACTTAAAGGAACGATTGTAAATCGAGGACTACCTGTAATCTGGTAGTTAATCTGGCATTTGTGTAATCTGGCATTTGTGTCTCCAAAGGAGGATCTTGTTATATCTATAGTTGGGAGATGTAAATTCCCTTGGGATTCCCTCTTCTTCCCATGGAATAATCTGGATGGGAACCAGAACTCTGGGGCTGAAAGTGGAGGGAAACCAAAGTCTCTTCTATTGTTACAACTTGCATTTGTGTCTCCAAAGACAGTGACATCCATAATTGGAGATGCTAATTCCCTTGGGATTTCCCTTCTTCCCGTGGAATAATCTGGATGGGAACCAGAACTCTGGGGCTGAAAGTGGAGGGAAACCAGAACATTGTCTATTGGCCTTTGAGCAGGGCAAGGGAACTGGATCTTCCTCCCAGGAAAGGAGAGACCCTCACTTTCTGTTGTAATTTCAAACGGTCACTAAATGAATTGTTGTAAATCGAGGACTACCTCTAATTTGGACAAGCAAAGAGAACCCTGGGACTGAAATTGGAGGGAAACCAAGGCATCTTCTCTTGATAGGACCTGCATCTGAGCCAGACAAGGGAACTGAATCTTCCTCCCAGGAAAAGAGAGACCCTCACTTTCTGTTGTAATTTCAAACAGTCACTAAATGAACTGTTGTAAATCAAGGACTACCTCTAATTTGGATGAGCAAAGAGAACCCTGGGACTGAAATTGGAGGGAAACCACGGCATCTTCTCTTTCTCTTGATAGGACCTGCATCTGAGCCAGGCAAGGGAACTGAATCTTCCTCCCAGGAAAAGAGAGACCCTCACTTTCTGTTGTAATTTCAAACAGTCACTAAATGAACTGTTGTAAATCGAGGACTACCTCTAATTTGGATGAGCAAAGAGAACCCTGGGACTGAAATTGGAGGGAAACCACGGCATCTTCTCTTTCTCTTGATAGGACCTGCATCTGAGCCAGGCAAGGGAACTGAATCTTCCTCCCAGGAAAGGAGAGACCCTCACTTTCTGTTGTAATTTCAAACAGTCACTAAATGAACTGTTGTAAATCGAGGACTACCTCTAACTTGGAGGAGCAAAGAGAACCCTGGGACTGAAATTGGAGGGAAACCACGGCATCTTCTCTTTCTCTTGATAGGACCTGCATCTGAGCTGGGGGCAAGGGAACTGAATCTTCCTCCCAGGAAAGGAGAGACCCTCACTTTCTGTTGTAATTTCAAACGGCCACTAAATGATTTGCTGTAAATCGAGGACTACCTCTAATTTGGACGAGCAAAGAGAACCCTGGGACTGAAATTGGAGGGAAACCACGGCATCTTCTCTTGATAGGACCTGCATCTGAGCTGGGGGCAAGGGAACTGAATCTTCCTCCCAGGAAAGGAGAGACCCTCACCTTCCGTTGCAACTTTGAACGGTCACTAAATGAACGATTTACACTAAATGTTGTAAATCGAGGACTATCGACAATCTGGGTGGGAAAACAGGATTCTGGGACTGAAACTGGGAGGGGAAACCAGAGCATCTTCTATTGATCTGACCTGCATCTGAGCCGGGTAAGGGAAGTGGATTTTCCTCCCGGGAAGGGATATTCCCTTCCCTTGTCGCCGCCGCCACCTCCCTATCTGGGCCCGAGGAGAGCTGAGCGGGAAGCCTCCGGCTAGGACCGCCGCCCGGGAGCAGTTCTCCGTCCAGCCCGCCATCTCCGGGAGCAGCAGCCCCACCAGGATCCCTCCTTCTCCTCCTCCTCTCGGGGCTTCAGCCAGCCGGGGCGAAGCTGCTGCATTCGGCTGCAGATCGACTCCCGGGAGCCCAAAACGGCAGAAGAGCCCGGAGGCTCCCCGAGCTCAGCGGCGCTTGCTCCCGACCTCCTCCTGCCCCGCCGCACCTCTCCTGCCTGGCCAGCCTCCGGACGCTCGGCCGCCCCGCTCCGGATTCCTCTTCCCCGCCGCCTCCTTTCTTCCCGGAGAAAAAAAGCGGGATCGCGCTTTCCCAGCCGATCTGGATCCGAGGAAGCGCCGCTGGCACTGATTCCCGGGAATCCGCTCCGGGAGAAACGCCCCCGGCCCCGCCCCTCCTCCGGGAGGACTACGGGCGAGAGAGCGCCCCTTCCTAGAGTGGCATCGCTCCGACAGCCTCCCTCCCCTTTAAAACGCCCCCCCTTCCCTTCCGCCTCTTTCCCGAAGGAGCCCCCTGCGCGTCAAAGCTCTCTCGCGCATGCTCCGTCCCTCTCCCGCTATAACGCCAGTTTTGTATTCTTTGGGCTCCTTCTCGGGTCTTTGGAAAGAGGAGGAGCTAGTCCTCGACTTGCGACCACAGGGGAGCCCACCGTTCCTGTGGCTCGCTCACAGACGTGTGGGAAAAGTGGTCATAAGTCACATTTTTTTAAAAAAAATTGATTTATATGCCGCCCTTCTCCGGAGACTCAGGGCGGCTTACAATGCGCTAAGCCAGTGTTTCCCAAACTTGGCTATTTTAAGATGCATGGACTTCAATTCCCAGAATTCCCCAACCAGTATGCCTGGTTGAGGAATTCTGGGAGTTGACGTCCATACATCTTCAAAGGGTCAAGTTTGGGAAACACTGCGCTAAGCAATAGCCTTCATACTTTTGTATATTTTATACAAAGTCAGCTTATTGCCCCCACAATCTGGGTCCTCAATATACCTACCTTAGAAAGGATGGAAGGCTGAGTCAACCTTGAGCCTTGGTGACATTCGAACCTGCAGTAATTGCAGGCATCTGGTCTTAATAACCAGCTTAATAACAGGGTGCCTTAGACCACTGTACTACCAAGGCTCTACATTGTTCAGTGCCGTTGTAACTTTGGTCACTAAATGAACTGTTGTAAGTCGAGGACTACCTGTATTTGATTCTTTGGGCTCCTTCCGCATCTTTAAAGAGAGGATCCCCAGCACAGCTAGTCCTCGACTTGCGACCACAACGGAGCCCACCGTTCCTGTGGCTCGCTCAGACGGTCGTCAAGTCAGCTTTGTTGACCCGTTTTGCCCCACCTTTGTTAAAGTGAATCACCACAGGGGTGAAGTTAGTAACCCCGGTTGTTAAGTGAATCAGGCTTCCCCTATTGACTTTGCTTGTCGGATGGTTGCAAAAGGGGATCGCGTGACCCCAGAACACTGCAACCGTCGTAAATATGAACCAGTTGTAAGCATGTAAATCACATGACCACAGAGATGCCGCAGCGGTCTTAAAGTGTGAAAAGTGATCACAAGTCACATTTTTCAGTGCTGTTGTAACTTTGAATGGTCACTAAATGAACTGTTGTAAGTCGAGGACTGTCTCTATTTGATTCTTTGGGCTCCTTTTGCATCTTTAAAAAGAGGATCCCCAGCACAGCTAGTCCTCGACTTACAACCCCAACGGAGCCCAACATTCCTGTGGTTAAGTGAGATGTTTGTGAAGCTAGCTTTGCCCCATTTGCCCCCTTTCGCACTAGTGCAGTTAAAGTGAATCATTGCAGTTGATAAGTTAGTATCCCGGTTGTTAAGTGAATCTGGCTTCCCTATTGGAGATGCTGGTCAGAAGGTCGCAAAAGGAGGAAATCCCACGACCCCAGGACACTGCATCTGTCATAAATATGAGTCAGTTGCCAAGCATTTCAATTTCGATCACATGACCACGGGGATGCTGCAACAGTCGTAAGTGTGAAAAACGGTCACGAGTCGCTTTTTTCAGCGTTGTCGTAACTTGGAACCGTCAACTGAATGAACTGTTGTAAGTTGAGGACTACCTGTACTTGACACACACAGACGTGGACTTTTTAGGGAAAGCTACATGAGAAAACAGCAATCCCCTTTACCAGCCTCTCTCCCCTTCCCAGCTTCTCACTATTCCAGCAGAAGAACTAAAGCATCTTCCTGAAATAAGAAATTACGGCTTCTTTCAGTCCTTCAGTTAGGAAGCTCCTGCTTGTGAGAAGCAATGCTGCTTCCTTGTCCTCCATCTTGTAAATGGCAGTGTCATCACAACATCCCTCCAATTTTAATCAGGGATGTTTTCCTGCCCTCTTACCTTTTTTTCCCACAGCATATGCCCTTGGTCTAAACCAGGGGTGTCAAACATAGGGCCCGTGGCTACATCTGGCCTGTGATGTGGTCAGATCCGGCCATCCTGGAAAATGTAAGGAGATGTCCCATGTTGCTTCGGCCCGGTCTACCCAGTGCGAAGAGGAAACATGCCAGCAGTTTGGGCAGTGGTGTCAAGCTGGCCATGCCCACCCAGTTAGCCACACCAATCGAGTCAGCCCCCCCCCACTTTGAGGTCAACCACAACCCTGATGCGGCCCTCAATGAAATTGAGTTTGACACCCCTGGTCTAAACAGAGAAGACTTCTCAAGAATGTCCCAAAGATGCTTTTTCAAGAGGCCAACTGGACTTCCTTGCTTTTCTTTGAAGACGTTTTGCTTCTCGTCCAAGAAACTTCTTCATCCAAGAATGAACGGATTCTTCTTGGATGAGAAGCAAAACGTTCTTCAAACAAAAAAGTCCAGTTGCCTCTTGAAAAAGCACTTTTGGGACAACCATGACCTGGATGACTGAGAATCTCTCTAGACACCTGCCAAGAATGAGTCAGTGAAACAAAAAGCAATGACTAACATATTTCTCAGAGCAAGAGGGATAAAAAAAAAGAAGCAGCAGCAGAAGAAACCCCAAAACTAGACAAGGCGTATCAAACCACAACTGGGCAAGAGCCACCGGTATCACAAACTTACAGCATGGCTTTGACCAGATGGAAGGGATGGCAAATAAACTCTATCATTTAATGAGTTATGGATAGAAGCATCTCACTTATGCCTGGAGAATCAGGATACCAAAGAGAAGGAAAATCATCTATACTTTTACAAAAGATACAGCCCCAGAAAATAGCATGTTCCACTGGAAAGGAGAAAAAGAAGCCCAAATAAATTCAACAATTAAATTAAGGAAGAACACTAGCCAAATTTTAGACGAGTTGGCTAAAAGTAAGATTTTGGAGAGAAGGAGGTGTATATCTGTCTTTATTAAGGTTGGAGGCTGTTGAGGTATTTGTGTATTGATCAGTTTTACGTTATTATCATGACATTTGTGTAACATTCATCTGGATTCTGCCACGCTTATTCTGCACTGTGGGACAATCCTGGACAAAGTTTTCCCTTCTTCTGTGGGACACCTCATCAAATACTTTTATATCGCTCTTGGACGTTTTTTTACAAGGCTAAACATTTCCCACCAGCCTCAGTTTGTTTTCATGGGACTTAATTGATAAACCCTGTTAACCTTCTTCATGTTAGACCTTCATTCATGGCCTAACAATGTCTGGATGTGTCTTTGGTGAAGACTTAACTAAAATATATATAAAGACACATCCGGACATATATGGTATATATACCCTTTCCATAATATCTATATCTATATCTATATCTATATCTATATCTATATCTATACCAAAGTTCCATCTGGGAGAAAATATATATATATATGTTTCTTTTTTCCTTTTTCGTAGGCTTTTATGTGCATATTCTTTCTAGCCAGGTTTTACCTACGTAAACTTAGTTGTTCTATAGCCCTAGGGCTGTAGAACAACTAAGTTTACGTAGGTAAAACCTGGCTAGAAAGAATATGCATATATATGTTTTCTCCCACGTGGAACTTTTCTGGGATTCAAGATGACATTAAAATTGTTCCATCTCTTGATACAATTTTTCCTGCATGGATCAATCCTTTCTACATTCCACACATTTATGATCCACGAAGCTCATCTAAAGTCATGTTTAAATGTCTTTAGGGCCAGTCTCGATAGTCAAGAGTATGTACTTGAGGTCTTCCTCCCAAAATAAAATCTTTGATGGGAAATAAGGGCCTAAACTCAAAGGGCCATTTGAATCTTTTCTCTCTCTGGCCACTTTTAAGGTTGGCCCATGTGGTTTCCTTTAGGTCTGAGAAGTCTATTTTTCCAATTGAATATTTCTCCACAGACCCCATATTTCTACAGTTTCCCCCAAGAGGGTCCCATTTTTAGAAGAAAATATTAGAGAGGAAAGCTGCCGAGTTTTGGTTTCTCTGTTGTGGATTCGCGTTGCAAAAGATGATTTGACTGGTTGAGTTTTTTCCCACTGTCGGCGCATTTATATGGTTTTTCTCCCGCGTGAATTCTTTTGTGTTTGATAAGATTCGCATTCTGAGTGAAGCTTTTCCCGCACTCCGGGCATTTGTATGGTTTTTCTCCTGTGTGGACCATTTTGTGGCGAATGAAATTACTGTACTTACGGAAGCTGTTCCCACACTCGACGCACCTGTAGGGTTTCTCCCCTGTGTGGATCCTTTCGTGGCTTCTGTGCTCAGATCGTCCACTGAACGTCTTTCCACACATCAGGCACGTATACGGCTTCTCCCCAGTGTGGGTGCGTTGGTGTCTCATCAGGCCGTCCTTATAGGAAAACCTCTTTCCGCACTCCGTGCATTGATATGGCTTCTCTCCGGTGTGCTTTCTTTTATGAGAGGCGAGACGACTGCTACAGTTAAAGTCCTTTCCGCACTCCAGACATTTATACGGCTTCTCCCCCGTGTGAATCCTTTTATGGCAAATAAAATAACTGCTGCAGCTGAAGCTCTTCCCGCATTCCTTGCACGTGTACGGTTTCTCCCCTGTGTGGGATCGTTGGTGCGTTTTAAGGTGACCGCTCTGACTGAATCCTCTTCCACACACCGGGCACACGTACGGTTTCTCCCCTGTGTGGGTGCGTTCATGTATGACGAGGTTACTTCTTTGACTGAACGTCTTTTCACACCTCAGACATTTATAAGGTTTCTCCCTTAGGGGATTTTTGGGGGGCAAAATAAGTAACTGTTTCATACTGAAATCCGCTCCACGCTCATACAGCTTCTCTTCTTTGTGGGAAATTACGCGACTACCGAAACTGAAATTTCCCTCACAATTTATCAGCGCACGTGGTGTCTCTTTGGCGTACGATGGGCGATGTAAGGCCAGGTAGGAGGCAGAGCTGATACTTCGCCCATCCTCTTGATATTCATATTGTTCCTCTTCGGTCTGGGTTGCACAATATTGAGTGAAATCAGAGTTTTCTTTGTCTCCTTTGACACATCTGAAATATTCTCCCTTTTCTTCTCCTTGGTGAACTTCTTGGGTTTGGAGGCTATGGACCACACTAGGATCAGAAGACGTCTTCCCTCCGTTTCTTATGCAACTTTTCATACCCTTTTGAAGTGCGTCTTGATGTCTGAGCATCCCTTCTTCAAACTTGATCATTTGTAATAGTGCAGGGTGCTCATAGTTCTCATTCTCCTGCCCATAAGCTGATTTGAAGAAAGCGGGGGAGGGAGGAAGAAAAAAAAATCTCAATAATTGCTCATGAAGGAAAAGTACTGCAGATGTTATTATCTTCAAATTTTGCTGATTTCCTGTTTGTGTGCCTAAGAAAAGAAACCAAACTTTCATTTTATTTAGGGTTCTGGCTGAGACATTTACCGTATTTTTCAGAGTATAAGATGGACCTTTTCCCCCCAAAAAACAGGGTAAAAATCTGGGTGCGTTTTATACTCCGAATGTAGCCCCGCCCGGCTTCTCAAATGGAGGTTTCAGAGGCTGAAAAAAAGCATCAGAAACGAAGCTTCAAAAAAGAAGCCCCCAAACAGAGCTTCAGAGGCTTTTTTTTTCTGAAGCTCTGTTTCGGAGGCTTTCAGAGGCAGGAAAAAAAGTTTTTTCTGAAACAGTTTCAGATGTTTCAGAAGCAGAAAAAAAAGCAAAAAAAAAAAAAAGCAAGGCACACAGCTCACAACCAAGGAACCTGTTGTTAAAATTCATCTCTGGGAACAGCTGATTGGGGGTATTACGGGAGGCTGATCCACCTGCCAATCAGCTTTTTTCTTATTTTCCTCCCCAAAAACTAAGGTGCGTCTTATACTCCAAAATATACGGTATGTTTTTATCTCTTCCCCACTTTAATTTTTGTGTGTGTGTGAAAAATCTCTGCTTTTTGGTTGTCCAAAGCCTTGAAACACCAAGAACGAAGGGGGAATCAAGATCAAAATGGAAAAAAATAAGAAATAGCCTTAGAGGAGGTAGACTCCTGAGATGCCCAACTTTGAAATAGTTATGCTATGTATTAGTTATGTCTAATAAGCATTATTTATTAGGAATATATTAACAAATTCCAGAAGTTGTGAATGCTCCAACACTGGAAGTTTTTAAGATGTTGGATAGCCATTTGTCTGAAATGGTATAGGGCCGTGATGGCGAACCTATGGCACGGGTGCCACAGGTGGCACACGGAGCCATATCTGTGGGCACGCGAGCGTTGCCCTACCTCAGTCCAGTGCTGGCCAGCTGATTTTTGGGCCTTCCGGGCCCACTGGAAGTCGGGAAACGGGCTGTTTCCAGGCCTCTGGAGGGCCTCCGGGGGGGTGGAGGGGTGGGAAAGACTGTTTCCGCCTTCCCCAGGCTCCTAGAAAGGCTCTGGAGCCTGGGGAGGGCAAAAAAATGGGCCTACCGAGCCCACCGTGCCATCACGTGCCAAAAGCGGGGGGAGAGCGGGGGGGTCATGCGTGCATGCGTGAGGCGACGGGGTGCATTGAATTATGGGTGTGGGCAGGCGCACATGCAATCACCCCCCACTACCCCCGCTTTTGGCACGTAATGGCAAAAAGGTTAGCCATCACTGGTATAGGGTTTCCTGCCTAAGCAGGGGGTTGGACTATAACGCCTGAAATAAGCGCTTGGCCTTATTTTCGGGAAGGTCTTATTATTTTGGGGTCCGTGGAGCAAGATGGGGCTCCTCTTGCCGTTTTACCTGATTTCCATCTCTGCGTTTAAATATTTTCGGGGAGGGCTTATTATCAGGGGGAGGCTTATCAGGGAGCCTCGGTGGTGCAGCGGACTAAGTGCTGTTAAGTGCTAGCACTTTAGCTGCAAGCTGCCTGCAATTAGTGCGAGTTCAAATCTCACCAGGCTCAAGGTTGACTCAGCCTTCCATCCTTTTGAGGTAGGTAAATTGAGGACCCGGATTGTGGGGGCAATAAGCCAGCTTTGTATAGAACAACACCGCTTGGGGGGGGGGGCGAAAGCCCTAATAAGCAGGTATATACATAAAAGTATGCAAGCTATTGCTATAATACATTGTAAGCCGCCCTGAGTCTACGGAGAAGGGCGGCATATAAATTGGACTAATAAATAAATAAATTTTAGGGGAAACAGGGTAATTGCTTCAAAGAAAAACAAGAAAGTCCAGTTGCCTCTTTAAAAAAGCATCTTCGGGACAACCATGACCTGGATGAATGAGAAATCTCCATAGACATTCAGGGCAGTATCGTCTCCACCTAAAGTTGTTCAGGTTATCTGCTCTTCAATCAAATCACAACAAAACCTCAGTTGAGAAAGGTTCCTGTGAACCATCAGCCAACTTTTGCCTGTATTTACTTTGATGTTAGGAAAACAAAAACAAAAACAGAATGTCCTTCTTCTAGCTAGAACCATGATGGCGAAACAGAAGTGGCACGCAGAGCCCTCTCTGCAGGCACTCGCGTGTTGCCCCAGGTCAGATTTCTGTGGTGTTTCTTTCGTGAGCTTCTGTTTCCCTGCAAATGACGAAACAGAAGCTCACAAAAGAAAAAGATCTTACCTCTTGCCGCGCTTCCGGTGTTGGGATGCCGGCCAGCTGGTCTTCGGGTCTCTGCTGCACATCTCTGCGCATGTCCATGCATGTGCATGTCAGCACATGTGCATATGCATGTCCGTGCATTTGTATGCTCACATGCACCTTTCAGTTTGGGCATGCATGCACGCAGTTTGGGCACTTGGTGCCTAAAAGGTTCGCCATCATTGAGCTAGAAGGTGCTTTCGAGCACTTATGGCGATAGACCAGGGATGGCGAACCTATGGCACGGGTGCCACAGGTGGCACACGGAGCCATATCAGTGGGCACGCGAGCGTTGCCATAGCTCAGCTCCAGCGTGCATGCGTGCACTGGCCAGCTGATTTTTGGGCCTTCCAGTCCCACCGGAAGTTGGGAAATGGGTTGTTTCCGGCCTCTGGAGGGCCTCCGGGGGGGTGGGGAAGGCTGTTTTCGCCCTCCCCAGGCTTCTAGAAAGCCTCTGGAGGCATTTTTCACCTGGGGAGGGTGAAAAACGGGCCTACCGGGCTCACTGTGCCATCATGTGCTAAAAGCGGGGAGGGGGGCACAGGGGCGGGGTGCATTGAATTATGGGTGTGGGCATGCACGTGGGCGATCTCCCCATGCTCCCCCCGCTTTTGGCACACGACAGCAAAAAGGTTAGCCATCACTGTGATAGACTTTCCACAAATCCCTGAATTCAGAACAAAACAAGTCCTTACCCAGATCGGCCACATTCCTAGAATTCTCCAGCATGACTTCTCCGTATAAAACTTTCTGGCTGGGATCTAGCAGCTCCCACTCGTCCTCCGTGAAATACACAGCCACCTCCTCAAAGGTTATTGAGCCCTGAAAGTCACAGGAAACTTTCCTTAACAGACAGACATCCCAGAAAGTTCTCTCCCAGTTTTCCAATATCCTAAAAGTTAAATTTTGCAAGAAGGAAAATACTCCTTTTTTTTGGATCTGATCTATTATCAGGTTTTATGGTTGCCTCTCCCAAGATTTCAAATCTCACCTATTATTATTATTATTAAATCCGATCACAATTTAAATCTAATGTGATTAACTTTTTTGTTTTGACCGGTTGTGAATACTCCTACTAATATATTAATGAAAGTGAAGAAACAAAAGAGCTGATTCCTCTGTATGCACATCCCTAAGATAGCAAGGCGTTCTTTGTGATGGAATGTAGGTGGGATGGATTTCCAGGAGGGAGTGGGAACATTCCAGAGGAAGGAGAGACAATTCAGTCCAGATATCTTATGTGAGAGAAAGAGGGTGAAGACAGCTCCTCCTTAACAGTTCTAGATGCAGATAACAGAGTGTTTAGAATCAGAATACAGCTGGAAGGGATCTTGGAGGTCTTCTAGTCCAGCCCCCTGCTCAAGCAAGAGATCCAGAAGTTGTGAATGCTCCCATGCTGGAAGTTTTTAAGAAGAGATTGGACAACCATTGTTGTAACGACCACACACAGAGAGGTTGAGGATATATGTGGTATTTATTGCTATACAGAGAGACATTATATAGTTTGTTACTACAAGTTACAGCGTATTTGGCAGCATATCATTGGCTCACAGAATCTTCCAGGTAACTTAAATCATTGGTTAACCATTACTGCTTGCTTAAGCACTTATAATGGTTAGCTATAGTTAAAAGTATAACATATATCCCATTTCCTCTTCTCTTGCTCCTCTTGTTTACAGATTTAGGGTCTTATTTTCTAATGCCATTTCCTGGCGCCTACGTGCATATAACCTTCCTTATCTGAGGTTTGCCTTCCAAGATAGGAAAATTCCTGCATGTATGCAAACTCCTACAAACCATTTGTCTGAAATGGTATAGTATTTCCTGCCTGCGCAGGGGGTTGGACTAGAAGACCTCCAAGATCCCTTCCAACTCTGTTCTTCTATATTCGTCTATATTCTATTTGATTTCTCGATACCTTGCACTTAAATAACCATCTTGAAAGCAAGATCAGCCCATTCAATCCTGAATCTCATGCTGAAAGCAGACTCCCAAATGTTTCCTTGTTCTCATGAAATTATCCTACCTGAGCGGTTGCTGATCTACTGCAAAGAGGACTTTGATCAGTATTTCCCAATAGCTGATCCATAGATGGATGGAAAAAACCTCCTCTGACTTCAGGAGTTACCAAGAACGTCTTCACCAATGGCTCCTGCATCTGAAATAGCCAGAATCACAGAAAAAACAAAAGTTAAAATGAATATTGCAACGAGGGGATTCTTCTCTGGTCCCAAAGCTGGGCCATTTTATATTGTCAGGGTGGCAATTAATCCATTCTGCTTTTGGGTAATTGCACCTTGATTAAGAGAATGGATCGTGACCTTCCTTGAAGTATACTTTAAGAAAATAAACCTGAAGATATATTTTCTAAGAAAAACTCATTTATTTGTTATAAAGAAAATAAAACATCCCACTAGCTAATTAATTAATCTTGGCAAAGCTTTCCCAGCCACCTCTCTTGGCCGGAGAACAAAGAAAGATAGAAGAAAGTGGAGGAATGTGGACATGCGCAGTTAGCTTACTGATAAGAACTTGGCAAGCTACAGTAAGTCTGAAAGTTCAAAAATAAGAGCTCATCTGGTAAATACAAAAACGCAGTGACATATATCCCTCGGAGGAGATGCCAATTAATTCCCCTGGGATTCCCCTTCTTCCTTTTGGAATACAGGTAGCCCTTGACTTACGACCACAATCGAGCTCAGAATTTATGTTGCTAAGTGAGACATTCATTCAGTTGTGCCCCATTTTGCAACTTTCCTTGCCACATTTGTTAAGCGAATCACCGCAGTTGTTAAAATAGTAACAAGTTTGTTAAATGAATCCGGCTTCCCCATTAACTTCGCTTGTCAGAAGGTCGTAAAAGATCATCGCATGACCCCGGGACACTTCAACCGTCATAAATATGAGTCAAGTTGCCAAAGCATCTGAATTGTGATCCTGTGATCGTGGGGATGCTGCAACGGTGGTAAGTGTGAAAAACGGTCCTCAGTCCCTTTTTTCAGTGCCGTTGTAACTTCGGTCACTAAATGAACTGTTGTAAATTGAGGACTACCTGGACAGCCTCCCTCTTCCCGTTGCCTTTTGAGCCAAAGAAATCAGTGAAGGTTCCCTGCTGGGGTTAAGCAGCTTCTTATCTCTTATAAGCGGGATCTTGGAGTCCTAGTGGACAACCATTTAAATATGAGCCAGCAGTGTGCAGCAGCTGCCAAAAAAGCCAACACAGTTCTAGGTTGCATCAACAGAGGGATAGAATCAAGGTCACATGAAGTGTTAATACCAGTTTATAATGCCTTGGTAAGGCCACACTTGGAAAACTGCATCCAGTTTTGGTCGCCACGATGTAAAAAAGATGTGGAGACTCTAGAAAGAGTGCAGAGAAGAGCAACAAAGATGATTAGGGGACAGGAGGCTAAAACATATGAAGAACGGTTGCAGGAACTGGGTATGTCTAGTTTAATGAAAAGAAGGACTAGGGGAGACATGATAGCAGTGTTCCAATATCTCAGGGGTTGCCACAAAGAAGAGGAGTCAAGTTATTCTCCAAAGCCACTGAGGGCAGGAGAAGAAGCAATGGGTGGAAATCAAGGAGAGAAGCAACTTAGAACTAAGGAGAAATTTCCTGACAGTTAGAACAATTACAGGTAGCCGTCGAATTAGGACCACAATCGAGCCCAGCATTTAGGTTGCTAAGTGAGAAATCTGTTAAGCGACTTTTGTCCCCTCCACGACTTTTCTTGCTGCATTTGTTAAGCGAATCACTGTAGTTATTATATTAGTCACACAGTTGTTAAGCAAATCCGCTTTCCCCGTTGACTTGGCTCGTCAGAAGTTCGCAAAATATGGTCACGCATGGGACACCGCAACTGTCATCATGAGCCAGTTGTCAAAGCATTTGAATGTAAACTACGTGACTGTGGAGATACTGCAATGGCCCTAAGTGTGAAAAATGGTCATAAGTCACCTTTTTTCCCCCAATGCTGTTGTAACTTCGAACGGTCACCAAACAGCAATAGCCCTTAAGACTTATATACCGCTTTACAGTGCTTTACTGCTCTCTCTAAGCGGTTTACAGAGTCAGCCTCTTGCCGCACAACAATCTGGGTCCTCATTTTACCGACCCGTCGGAAGGATGGAAGGCTGAAGTCAACCTTGAGCCGGTCAGAATCAAACTCCTGGCAGTGAGCAGTATGTATGTATGTATGTATGTATGTATGTATGTATGTATGTATGTATGTATTATTTATTTATTTATTAATTCAATTCAATTCAATTCAATTCAATTCAATTCAATTCAATTCAATTCAATTCAATTCAATTCAATTCAATTCAATTCAATTCAATTCAATTCAATTCGTATATCGCCCTTCTCCTAGTGGACTCAGGGCGGTGAACAGCCAGAACTAAAACACATACCAATACAAAATTTAAAATTATTAAAAGAATTACATACTTTGGCCCAAATTTAAAACAATTCGAATTAAAACCCATTGACAGATTAAAAACTAAAAAGCTAAAAAACTAAAAAAGTGAGCAGTGAGTTTAGCCCTGGAATACTTTTAACCACTGCACCACCACAGCTCTGAACCGCCGTTGTAAATCGAGGACTACCTGTAAACCTGAATTGTGGTGGGTGGGAGTGTGTTTGGGGATGGACCTGGGTCTTTGGGTGTTAAGTGAATTTTGTTGTATGGGTATACTGTGTATACACGTTCAATGACAATAAAGTTATTTATTTATTTAATCAGTGGAGCCACATGCCTCCAGAAGTTGTGAATGCTCCAAAACTGGAAGTTTTAAAGAAGAGACTGGACAACCCATTGGTCTGAAGTGGTACAGGTTTTCCAGAGCAGGGGGTTGGACTAGAGGACCTCGAAGGTCCCTTACAACTCTGTTATCTCATCGTTCCCACGGCTGTGGTTTTTTCCTGCTGTCTCCCCCCAAGTCTTCCCCACGTAGCGTTACACCAGAGGTCTTCAAACTTGGCAGCTTTAAGACTTGTGGACTTCAACTCCCAGAATTCTCCAGCCAGCACAGCTGGCTGGAGAATTCTGGGAGTTGAAGTCCACAAGTCTTAAAAGCTGCCAAGTTTGGGAACTCTTTGTGTTATACAAACCCGTGGCCAGCCCTGGCTTCTCTTCCCAGGTCTCAGCACCGAAGGACGGGCACTTTCCTACAACCCTCCCTACCCTCGACCCGCCCAGAAGCGGCCAAAGCTCCCTCTTACCTCCCGCTTACGAAGCTCCTCGGATCGCGGCACCCACGGAGGAGAAGATCCAGCGGAGATTTTCCCCAGGGGAAGAGAGGGAGGAGCTGAACCAGGCAGCCCGCGCTGGGCTCCCTCCCCGTTTTTTAAAGGGGCGGGGGGGGAAATCACCCACTCACCACCACCTTCCCAGCTTTCCCGGGAGAGAAAACGAAAGTACCGCTTCCTTGCGGAGGCGCTCTAGGAAAAACGCAGCCGCCACTCGCTTCCTCTTACTCCGCTCCCGCCGCAGCGACCCGTCTCCTCCGCGAGCCTTCGGAGTGCGGGCGAGAGAGCGCTTGTTCCTAGAGAGGCCAGCCTCCCTTAATTTTACAACTCTTTTGAGGCCGAAGGCGACCGCAGGTCCTCCTCGACTTACGACCATAACGGAGCCCCGAATTTCTGTTGCTTGAGTCAAACAGATGTTAAGGGAGCTTTGCCCCCCATTTTACGACCTTTCTTGCCAGAATTGTTAAGTGAATCTGGCTTCCCCATTGACTTTGCTTGTCACATAGTCCCAAAAGGGGATCATAGAATAGAAATAGGAATAGAAGCAGAGTAGAATAGAGTAGAGTAGAATAGAGTAGAATAGAATAGAATAGAGTAGAGTAGAGTAGAGTAGAATAGAATAATAGAATAGAATAGAATAGAGTAAGAATAGAGTAGAGTAGAATAGAATAGAAAGTATAGAATAGAATAGAATAGTATAGAATAGAATAAGAATAGAATAGAGCAGAATAGAATAGAATAAGAATAGAGTAGAGTAGTATAGAATAGAAAGAATAAGAATAGAGTAGAATAGAATAGAGTAGAGTAGAATAGAAAGTATAGAATGCAATAGAATAGTATAGAATAGAATAAGAATAGAGCAGAATAGAATAAGAATAGAGTAGAGTAGTATAGAATAGAAAGAATAAGAATAGAGTAGAATAGAATAGAATAAGAATAGAGTAGAGTAGAGTAGAGTAGAATAGAAAGAATAGAATAGAATAGTATAGTATAGAATAGAATAAGAATAGAATAGAGCAGAATAGAATAGAATAAGAATAGAGTAGAGTAGAGTAGTATAGAATAGAAAGAATAGAATAGAATAAGAATAGAGTAGAATAGAATAGAGTAGAGTAGAATAGAATAGAATAAGAATAGAGTAGAGTAGAGTAGAATAGAAAGAATAGAATAGTATAGTATAGAATAGAATACGAATAGAATAGAGCAGAATAGAATAGAATAAGAATAGAGTAGAATAGAATAGAATAGAGTAGAATAGAATAGAATAAGAATAGAGTAGAGTAGAATAGAAAGAATAGAATAGTATAGAATAGAATAAGAATAGAATAGAGTAGAATAGAATAGAGTAGAGTAGAATAGAATAGAATAGAATAGAATAAGAATAGAGTAGAGTAGAGTAGAATAGAAAGAATAGAATAGAATAAGAATAGAATAGAATAGAATAAGAATAGAGTAGAGTAGAATAGAAAGAATAGAATAGTATAGAATAGAATAAGAATAGAATAGAGTAGAATAGAGTAGAATAGAATAGAGTAGAGTAGAATAGAATAGAATAGAATAAGAATAGAGTAGAGTAGAGTAGAATAGAAAGAATAGAATAGAGTAAGAATAGAGTAGAATAGAATAGAATAAGAATAGAGTAGAATAGAATAGAATAGAATAGAATAGAATAGAATAGAATAGAATAGAATCAAGAGAAGAGGAAGAAGAGAAGAGGAAGAGGAGAGAAGTCAGTAGCCTGGTTGTTAAGTAAACCTGGCTTCCCCATTGACTTTGTTCATCCAAAGGTTGGATGTATATATTACAGGTAGTCCTGGACTTACGACCATTCATTTATGACCATTCAAAGTGACAACACTGACAAAAAGTAACTTACAACTGTTTTTTCAGACTTATAACCATTGCAGCATCCCCATGGTCATGTGATCAAAATGCAGGCTCCTGGCAACCGGCATGTAACAGTAACAGAGTTGGAAGGAGCCTTGGAGGTCATCTAGTCCAACCCCCTACTCACGCAGGAGATCTATAGTAGGGATTCAAACTGCCGAACTACCGACCTTTCTGATTGACAAGCTCAGCATCTTACCCACTGAGCCACCTAGCCATTTTATGTATTTATATCAGTTGCAGTGTTCTGGGGTCACTTTTGCGACATTCTGAGAAGGAAGTCCATGGGAAAGCCTGATTCACTTAACAACCATGTTACTTAACAATCCTCAGTGAGCCACTTAATGGTGGTGGCCAGAAACGTTGTAAAAAGGGGGAAAAACTCAGTTAACAACTGTCTGGCTTAGTTAGCAATGGAAATTTTGGGTTCAATTGTGGTTGTAAGTTGAAGACTTTCACAGGATTCCTCCTGTATATCAAAAATAAGAGGACTGCCTCAGCTAAAATTCTGGCTACATATTGTGTGTGCGTGTGTGTTTTGTTTTATATATAATTCTTGATGTCAGAAGGTACATGGAGACTGATACTACTAATACCATGGCCTTGATATTCATATTAATTTTCTACCTTTACGATGTGTGGACTTCAACTCCCAGAATTCCCTAGTGAGCAGAAGATCAGATAAGGGCAAAAGTGGTTTTCATCAAAAGAGAGGAAGGGGAGAGAAGGGCTTGTGTAACAAGATATTTAATCCCTTGGACACGTCTTTCCTCCCTGTTGTGGCCCATTAGCGGCCTGTGCAGTTAGTAGCTGATTTGTGCTGCTGGTGCTCGAGTCAGACAATGAGAAGGCTGGAGAAGATGTGGTGCCAGAGGCGGGGATTCAGCCAGGGCCTTCAGAACCTTCAGAAGCTCCCATAAGTGAAGAGGAGCCTCTTCTCGTTGCACGAGCGTGCAGAGCTGTTAAAAGGCAGGAGTGGCTCCTCAGGAGGAGGTCTCCTCGAGAATAAGGCTTGGGGCTAATTGGCCACTCCCCTAGCCTATTTAAGTAAGGACGAGGACTGATGCAATTTGCAGGAAATAACTTCGTTCATATTCCGTCGCGTCTTGATTCCAGAAACGTTTGATTCGGCTCGTTTCTCTCTTGTCAGTTTTCCTGCAAATTGCTTCTGGGCATTCTGCCAACCACAGTAAGCTTACGGTTATCTGAAAGACTGTGCCTCAGAATTGAGTTCTTATTCCTTGGACTCTTGTCGGCTGTTAATGAAGTTAACTTAACAGCCCTTGTTCAGAAAAGACTGATTTAAACTGAACTTGTGTTTGAACAACTACTAAGAAAGCTCATTAGTAGTCCTTAATTAGTAAACTAAGGTTTGTACAGACTTTGTGTGTGCTGCGTTCTTTGGGGTCCGTAGCTGGAGCAGAACATCCCCATTCTCTCTTGGATTTCATTTCCATCAGAATGGAAAAGACTTTAATGCTGGAAAAGGTGGAAGGAAATCAAAGTTTTGGCCTGTAGAAGAGCTGAAGGACCAGGTTAGTGACAGATGATCATGGAGAAAATCATGTGATCAGACTTGACATTGATTTGATGGTACATAATCGAATCAAGCATTCTGTATTTTTTCAGGGGTAGTTTTACTTCTTGCTTGGGTTAAATATGCACAATTCTCTAGGTCAGGGGTGTCAAACTCAAAGCCCGCAGGCCAGATGTGGCCCACAGGGTGCTTAGATTTGGCCCACAGAGCCACAGCGAAGGACCGGCCTACTGTGTCTCTGCCAGCGAAAATGGAGCTTGGGAGGGTCCTCCCAAGCTCCGTTTTTGCTGGCAGAAGGTTGCAGGAGGCCGTCCCAGCTGAAAATGGAGATCAGGAGTCCGTTTTCACTGGCAGAGCATTTGGGCTGCCACAGGCGCCCCAGATATGAGTGACATCAAGCTGGCCACGCCTCCCCAGGCACCCCCTGAGGTCAAACACAGCCCTGATGCGGCCCTCAATGAAGTCGAGATTTACACCCCTGCTCTAGGTGAACATATAACTTGTTCCACGTTGTCTTAAATGCATTGGAAAGTCCAAGTATAAGGTTCTGCATCCAAAAAACCCCTCACCTCATATGATTATGTATAGATTAATTATCACTGGCATCTTTTTCTCCTATGTTACCATGTTTCCCCGAAAATAAGCCCGTCTTATATTTTTTTGAACCCCAAAATAAGCGCTTGCCCTTATTTTTGGGGTGGGGGGTGTTCTTATTATTTTGGAGTGCGTGGAACAAGATGGGGTTCCTCTTGCCTTCTTACCTGATTTCCAGATCTGCATTTAAATATTTTCATGGAGGGCTTATTTTCGGGAGGGGCTTATTTTCGGGGGGGGGGCACTTATTTTAGCACATGTGCTCAAAAGCCCATCCTCAAAAGCACATCCTCAAAAGGATGTCTTATTTTTGGGGAAACGGTAGTAGAACAAAACTTTTCTTTCTTTACTTTCTACATTAAAGACTTAAGTTTTATTAAACCAAGTCAGGAATATATAAAGCTTCAAATGCCCACATCAGTATGAAAATCAGAAACAGGTGGTGAAAATTATCTATGACACCAGCTTTGTTACATTCCAGGACATGCTTGCTTTATTTATTTAAATTTTTATAGCCACCCATCTCACTAGGGCGAGTCTGAGCAGCTTACAAGTTAAAAACGACCAAAAAACCCAATAAAAATAATTCGAGCAATAAATCGCAAACATAAAAGCACAGAAGAATGTCATCCAGACGTCACAAACAATGCAATCACCATGCGGGCTCTTCACACCCATGGCCTGATGGAACAGCCGTGTCCTCAGGGACTTCTTAAAGGCCAACAAGGTTGTGGCCAAGTTGACAATAGCAATAGCACTTAGACTTATATACCGCTTCACAATTCTTTACAGCCCTCTCTAACCGGTTTACAGAGTCAGCCTATTGCCTGAACAATCTGGGTCCTCATTTTACCGACCTCAGAAGGTCAGAAGGCTGAGTCAACCTTGAGCCGGTCAGAATCGAATTGCTGCTGGTGGGCAGAGTTAGCCTGCAATACTGCATTCTAACCACTGCCCCACCACGGATATACTATATTTAGCACTATATTTAACAAGAAAAAATAAATTAAGCCCCAATAGGAGATTACAGGAATAGGACTGCAGACTAGACTTTAAATCCATCCATCCATCCATCCATCCATCCATCCATCCATCCATCCCAGAAGAAGACAATGGAAAACTACTTCTGCACTGCTGCCAAAAAGACCTGCACAAATATGTCCCAGCCAGGGAACTTAAAATTGACTTTTCCTGCTCTGCATTTAGCCATACATTGTTGAATGAAAAGGAGTTCGATCATCACCAGCTCAAGGTTGACTTATCCTTCTGTCCTTAGAATGCACGTTAGGGACAATAGGCTGACGTAGAACATCATTGCCATGGTGGCACAATGATGGTTAGAATGCAGGATCGAACTGCTGGCAGTGGGCATAGTTAACCTGCAAGGCTGCATTCTAACCACTGCGCCACCACAGCAATGATGTTCCGTGCGTTGCCTTGAATATTATCTCTAACAATTCAAGGTGCGGACTTTGAATGCAGTTGTAGGTAGTCCTTGATTTATGACCACAATTGGGATCGGAACCTCTGCGCTAAGTGAAGCAGACCTTCACCCATTTTAACAACATTTTTTGCGATCAATCATTACATAAATCCAGTTTCCCTCATTGACTTCGCTTTTTGGAAGTCCCCTGGGAAGACTATAAACGGCAATCATGTGACCCCAGGTCACACACGCCTGCATTTGGTTCATATGACCATGGAGATGCTGCCATGGCCTGAAGTGCGAGAACAGGTTGTAAGTCATTTTTCTTCAGTGGTGTTGATCATTAAATGAATGACTGTAAGTAAAGGACTGCCTAGTTTCCTATTTTGACCTTATCTATTATTTTCCATTCAAAGTGCAGAAGGCAGACTATATTTAAATGTTGGTCTCAAAAACAATTTACGGACTTTTAAAATATATTAACCATATGCCGAGCAGTTAAAGATATGACCCAACGTCTTGGTTTAATCTAATGCCAAAGACATCTGCAATCGTCAATTCAGACCACTGACCTGTGCTTATTCTCTGCACAAGAGGGAGATGGAGAAAGTGTAGATAACACAAAGTTGACTTTGGAGGAGATATGCAGAACTGTTGACAAACATGAGTTCAGTCTGAGAAAGCAAGACAGCATGAGGAAGAGACTCAAGAATGTCCCATCTTGACTATTTTTGGTATAAGAAAAGGAGAAAATGCCAGGTTTTCAAAACTCTGTTATTATAATCTTTGCTCGATAAGGTCAAATCTAGCACTTTTTTGTGGTATGTATTTCCCGCCCTGGTCTACCTCAAGAGGTTGGCGTAAAGCAAAAGATAGAAGGTATCTGTCAGCCTGCATCTTTGCTTTCTTTCAAGCTTGTCAGTGCCATGGAAATGATGGGGGGGTTGGGGGGTTGGGGAGCAATGGGAATTTGGGAGGGGAAAAATGCCGAAAGTGGAAATGGAATTTCTGAGAAGCGGAGGCCTGGATTCAGAGAAGCCAGCTTGGGTTGTTTAACATCTTCAAGGCCAACTGTCCTGGGATCGGCATGCGTGAAGGAATGATGCACCTGGACCAGACATGTTCCCAAAACATCTTCCTGGCCGATGATTGGTTGCCTGGCTACTAGGGGTGGGCGGGCTCTGGGATTAATTTCAATTTGTTTCTTCACCCAGATTTTGCTTCAGAGCTTGCCTGAATTTTGCTGCATTCAATTCTTTCCCAGAAAAAGTACCTTTTCTCTGAATCTATGGAGTCAAGGGTTTTCTTTCCTAGGGATTGATCGGTGTCAGCCCTGACAGTGTCACCAAAGCGTGGGGGATGCCAGAAGAGAGCATGATTTGACCTTCCTTTGGCAAACTCATGGCTTTCCGAGGGATAACTCAACATACCGTATTTTTTGGAGGATAAGACGCACCTTAGTTTTTGGGGAGGAAAATAAGAAAAAAGCTGATTGACAGGTGGATCGGCCTCCCGGAATACCCCCAATCAGCTGTTCCCAGAGGTGAATTTTAGCAACAGGTTCCTTGGTTGTGAGCTCTGTGCCTTGCTTTTTTTTCTCTCTGAAAGCCTTTGAAACAGAGCTTCAGAAAAAAAGCCTCTGAAGCCCCCTCTGTTTGGGGGCTTTTTTTTTCTGAAGCTCTGTTTGGGGGCTTCTTTTCTGAAGCTTCGTTTCTGATGCTTTTTTTCAACCTCTGAAACCTCCATTTGAGAAACTGGGTGGGGCTACATTCGGAGTATAAGACGCACCCAGATTTTCACCCTCTTTTTGGGGGGAAAAAGGTGCGTTTTATACTCCGAAAAATACGGTACGTGTAAACCTATTTCTCATTAAATCAAATAAAATTGGCTTGGTTTCCTCGACTGAAAAATATGAAATTTTCTGAGGTAATCATCAGCTGCTGACTTATCTAGGTACATTTCTGTGACCAGGAGAAGCTTTACAGCTTTGTTCCCCTTCAAAATACTCCTTTTTGAGATGAAGTTTCCTATCTGGCAATAATTTCATTTTATTTCATTTTATTAAATTTGTATACCGCCCTACTCCCGAAGGACTCAGGGCGGTGAACAGGCACAAAATAAAACACATAAATACAAAAGTTAAAAAATAATGAAAAGTTGTCCTCGACTTACAACCTCAACTGAACCCAACATTTTTGCCACTATGCAAGGCAGCAAATATAGCAAATGTTGTCCCATTTCAGCAACCTTTTATTGCCACAGTTGTTAAGTGACTTGCCACAGTTAAACTAAGTGAAACATTTGCTGAGTGAGTTTTCCCCCATTTTGCGACCTTTCTTGCCACAATTGTTAAGTGAATCTCCACCGTTGTTCAGTTAGTAACTCCGTTGTTAAGTGAATCTGGCTCCCCCATTGACTTGGCTTGTCAGAAGGTCGCAGAAGGGGATCACATGAACCTGGGACACAGCAACTGTCAGAAACATGAGTGTCAGTTTTGGAAGACAATTTCCTGTTTTGCTTCTTAACGGCCACATATTTTTATTATTTTTTTATTATTTATTTATTATTATTATTCATATTTCTATGCCGCCCACTCTCTGAGGACTCTGGGCGGCTTACACCAAAGACAGTATACTAAATAGCATATTGCCCCAAACAATCTGGGTCCTCATTTTACCCACCTCGGAAGGATGGAAGGCTGAGTCAACCTTGAGCCGGTGAGATTTGATCCGCTGATCTGCTGAACTAGCAGTCAGCTGAAGTAGCTGCAGTACTGCACTCTAACCACTGCGCCACCTCGGCTCATTTTAGCTGGGGAAGTTGGGCGGGGGTTGTTGTTGGAGCGGTAGAAAGTCATAACAACATTCCGTATTCAAGGACTTTTGCCTGCGTCTGATGGAGATTGCCTGAAGATTGTATCCAGTTGAGTATGAAGAGTTGACTGGACAATGTGATGAACTTGTGGGTGTGGGGCAGGGCTGTGAACTGTCAGCTGGGTGTGGAAAACCTGGAAGCTTTCAGATTCAGGTTTATTTATTTATTTATTTATTTATTTATTTATTTAATTAATTAATTAATTAATTAATTTATTTATTCAATTTATATGCTGCCCCTCTCTGAAGACCCAGGGCGGCTCACAATACACTGGTTTTCCCAGATGTGCCAACATGACATCTCTAATAAATTGGAATTTTGAGGAACCTCAGGCCTCAGAGCTTTCTTTTTTGGGGGGTGTTCCTTGGAACCCTAACAATGAGTCAGTTGCCAAGTTTAGATCATGTGACCACGAGGATGCTACAACAGTCGTAAGTGTGAAAAACCATCCTAAGTCACTTTTTTCAGTGCCATTGTAATTTTGAACGGTCACTAAATGGACTGTTGTAAGTCAAGGACTACTTGTCAACATTTTCCTGCCTTAGTTCAAATAGTTTCACGTGTTGATGACAGATGAGCAATGTTAAGGATCCCTGGTGCTATTATGCAAGGTGGCAGTAATGTCAGATGGATAGAGTCACGCTCTTCTTGGAAAAAGACCAAAAATGGCTGTCTCTAACTTTCTCACTGGTGCTACCATGACAATAGTTTCCCTTTTTTATATATATTTGTTGTCATTGCAACAGATGTTCTCATGACTTCTCTATTGGTGCAACCTCCCTATTCCCACAAAACCTATGTTTAAGCCTTAGCTATCTGGGACTTAGCTTATGAGCAGCCTTCACAACACTTAAGCATGCAATATAAGTTATTTCCTACGTAGAAAAAGTTTGGCTTACATTAAATGTAGTGGTCCTTTTGCTTTGACAAATGAACATTGCTTTCCCATTTTAGGACATGAACAGCAACTAGGCCCTTGAGTATTGCCTAATACAGGTGTAGGAAGTTAGCACCCACACCCACCCCTCTCCTAGAAGAATGAAATATTCTAGGAAATATTAAAAAGGCAGAATATTATACCTCCTTGGTTGAGAAAAGGAGAAATATGCTCTTGGAAAGCAGCCCCCACCTTTGTTAATAGCCCGAGAAAGACTGGTGCCAACCTATCAACAAGACAAAAGGCTGGGCCAGCTTATCTACAAAACAAAAGACCTTCACCCTCAGGACATGATAGGATTAGCCCTCACTCAAGATCCAAACCGGGACAAAGCCATTAAGCCATAATAGGAATTGCCCAAAGCCCCTTCATTACATCACCCAGCAAGATTCAACCAAGCCTGGGACTCAAGACAACCTACAAACTCCCCCTGCATGGCCCCATGGGAGACTGACAACCAATCAGAATACATTTCTTTCACAGAAACAGGAAGCAAGTTCAAAGCCCAAGAGAGGGTATAAATCTCTCTCTTTCTCTCTCACCCATGTGCTCGATTGCCCAGGATCTCAAACCATGTGGTCCTGTCCACCATTAAAACCATCTTTCCAAACAGCTTCCATGTTTCCAGTGTCTTTCTCTCCACTTGGAACTGAACCCAGATGGACATTTCTTCCAACACAGGGGTCCCCAACTCCTGGTCTGTGGATTGGTCCCAGTCCGCAGCATGCCAGAAACCGGTCCGCGCAAAACAAATGAAGCCCCATCCATGAGATGCAGGCAGCACATGTAACCGTGCCCCCTCTAGTCTGCGGAAAACCTCTCTCTGCAGAATTGGTCTCTGGTGCCCAAAGGTTGGGGGCCGCTGTCCTTATACTTTTCAAAACGAATTTGAAATACAGGAAAATAAAGAGAAATGCCGAGGAGTGACTTCCCCCGTACAAAGAGAAGCAGTGCAGAAAAATGTTGAATCACACATGTTCACTCTAACAACTTTAAGATGTTTGATGTTAACTCGTAAAGCATTCCAGGCCTGCTCTCGAGTTGCCATAGGCAGGAGGGGGGAGAACTGATGGATCACAACCGGCTGCCACAACCAGAAGCACATTCCACGCATACCTTTCTCCAGATTGTATCCCAGGTTACCAGAGCCAGCCGGAGGGGCATGTTTTCTACAGCCTGCGAAAGTGCTCCATTGGAGAATGTGATTTATGACACACCCAGAGAGGAGGGGGGAAACAGGTTAGCGGGGCCGTAAATTACATGGGGCAGAGCTGACTCCACTTGGATACGTGCCAACATGTTGCTCCTAATAAATAACTGGATTTCTTTTGAAACTTGGCTCGAGGTTCATGAATTAATTAGGACATCTGTCGGAACCCTGACATCTGGACTCTGTGGGAAGCTCCTGCCCCTTGAAGAATGAAATATCTTGGGGAATATTAAAAAGGCAGAATAGAATATTTCCCCTAAAGGAGAAATGGGGAAAAAATGTTACGGGAGGCAGAAACCAGCACCAGTTTCCCTTCCTGAAGCAGAAACTGAGAAAGCCAGCTTTTAGAAATGCAGATTTGGTAATCCATTCAGGAAGACTGGGTCAGGCAGAAACTTCAGATAAGCAACACAATCAAGTCAAAAGCTGACAAAATTAGCTCAGACAAACACCTAGGATTTGCATTTCCCCTTTTGTCTCTAGAGCCAGCCATGACCCCTCCATGACTCCATAGGAATACAGAAGGTATAAAACCCACCCATTCTCAACTCCATTTTGTCAGCTGTCCCAGTATCACATGTTGGTGGTTCTGTTCATCAATAAACCAACTTTCTTTCCAGTCAGCCTCCATTTTATTCCCAGCTTGGAACTGGACCTGGAATTTTTCTTCCAACAACTCCAACCCCCAGAATTCCCCAGTTTGGCGAATTCTGGGAGTTGGACTCCAGACATCTTAAAGTTGTTAAGATTGAAAAATACTGACCAAATGAATCTTCGCTGAAGTGACTAAGAAACGTACTTAAACCATAAACATTAAATTAGTGGATTTCTTCAATTTCATGCTTCTCAAGGAAGTCAAGAGCACTGAGACAAGACGATGGATTTACGATGGTTTAGTTTTCGAAAAATATATGGCTATCCTGCCTTGCTTTGTGCACTTCTGCTTCACATTGCCCCTTTGGAATTTCCTGATGAGATACGGTGCTAAAATAAAAACCCTTATTCCATGAAAAGAATAATTATGGTGCCTTACTCTGCAAATTTTTGGTAAATAATTGCTGGACTTAAGGCATGACAACTTTTGTCCCATTCTGATCACGGCTAAGAATTTTCTCCTCTTCAAATTCTTTTGTCTCAAACAATTCCTGATGTGTTTCCCACACTCCAAATATTCAGCGGTTTCCCCCCTGTGTGAGTCCTCTGATGTCGAATAAGAAGTGTGCTGGAAAAAAAGTTCTTTCCACACTCCAAACATTTGAAGGGTTTTTCCCCAGCGTGACGCCGCTGGTGCTTGCTAAGAAGTGAGCTCTCACTAAAGCCCTTGTCACACTCTTGGCATTTAAAGGGTTTCTCCCCCGTGTGAGTCCGTTCGTGTCTAATCAGGAGGGTGCTCCAAGTGAAGCTTTTTCCACACTCCAAGCATTTGTACGGTTTGTCTCCGGTGTGGGTTCTCACGTGAGAAATAAGGATGGAGTTGTGACTAAAACACTTGCCACATTCCTGGCACTGGAAAGGTTTCTCCCCCGTGTGAATCCTTTTGTGAGAGGTGAGGTGTATGTGTTGACGGAAGCTCCTTCCGCAATCTGGGCATTTAAACGGCTTCTCGCCTGTGTGGATCCTTCGGTGGGAGGTCAGGTGGATGTGCTGACGAAACCGCTTCCCGCACTCCAGGCATTTAAAAGGTTTCTGTCCCGTGTGCATGCCTTGATGTGCGGTAAGGATCCCACTCTGACTGAAACATTTCCCACACTCCTGGCATTTAAAGGGTTTCTCGCCCGTGTGAATCCGTCGATGCGCTGTCAGGCTTCTGCTCTGACTGAAACATTTCCCACACTCTGGACACTTGTACGGTTTTTCCCCCGTGTGGCTTATCTGGTGTCTAATAAGGTTTGTGCTATCGATGAAGCTCTTGTCGCATTCCAAGCATTTATAGGGTTTCTCCCCGGTGTGGATTCTTTTATGCCGAATAAGTTCAGAGCTGCGGCTGAAGCTTTTCTCGCACTCGGGACATTTAAAGGGCTTCTCCCCCGTGTGAGTTCTTTCGTGTCGAACCAGTTCGGAGCTGTGACCGAAGTTCTTTTCGCACAAGAGGCATTGAAACGGTTTCTCTCCTGTGTGGGTTCTTTCATGCCGAATCAGGTGTGAACTCTGGCTGAAGCTCTTCCCACATTCTTGGCACCGAAAGGGTTTCTCTCCCGTGTGGGTTCTTTGATGAGAAGTCAGATGTATATGTTGACGGAAACTCTTCCCGCACTCCGGGCACCGAAAGGGTTTCTCTCCCGTGTGGATCCTCTCGTGAGAGGTAAGGTGTATGAGCTGGCGGAACCTCTTCCCGCACTCCAGGCACGGAAACGGCTTTTGCCCCGTGTGCATTGCTTGGTGCGCCGTGAGAATGCCACTTTGACTGAAGCACTTCCCGCACTCTAAACATTGATAGGGTTTCTCCCCGGTGTGGCTTCTCTGGTGGGAAGTGAGAATGCCGCTGTTACCGAAACACTTCCCGCATTCTAAGCATTTGTAAGGTTTCTCTCCCGTGTGGCTCCTTTGATGGGAAGTAAGGTTTCTGCTTTGACTAAAACTCTTTCCGCACTCGGGGCATCCATAGGGTTTCTCTCCCGTATGAACCCTTTTATGCCTAATCAGTTCGGAGCTCCTACTAAAACTCTTCCCACATTCAAGACATTGAAACGGCTTCTCTCCCGGGGGGGTTTTCCAGTGTAGGTTCCTATCCGACGTTTCATCCCAATTTTCTACACATGAAGAAGCCTCGTGGTTGTTTCCTTCTTTCGGAAGGTTTGGGTGGACTGAAATTTCATGGAAGCCAATGTCCAAATTAGCAAAGGATTCGTGCCTTTCACCAATCAGGTTTCCATTTTCCTTCATGGCCCCTGAATTTCCAAAAGTGTCTTCTGCATCTTGGCACGTGTAACTGTTCTCCGGCACAGATTGTGACACCTCTCCATCATTTCTTCTGATCCACACCTGCCCATCTGAAATGAAGAGAAAAATCTGATGTAAGTCAAAATCCATTAACTCTCCACCCTATCTGGAAAAATATTTAAAGGAACAACCTTCTGTCCAGTTGATTAATACTAGAAATGAGTTAGCATTTGCTTGGCAAAAACTCCATCCCAGCTTCTGGCCTGACTAGCTTCTTTGAAAGTGTATACTCTCAAATAATTAGGAAACTTTCTTTGTAAACAACCCAGTATTCTACAAAGGCCCTGGTTTCTGGATATGAAGTTGGCTCAACCACTTGAAGGGTATATAATGGGCTGCACAAGGAAATTTAAGAGTATAAAACAGGTTTTGATAGCCAGTTTGGTCTTGTGATTTAGGCACCAGGTGTTGTGGCTTCGTCCTCCGAGCCCATCTTATCGGAGGAAGAAGGCTCCGAACATGAAGGAGAGGAGATGGCCAGGCCTCCCTCTCCAGGACCCTCCTCTCTGGCAATGCCTCAGGTGTCTCCCGAAGGAGAAGAGATTGGCCAGGAGCCAGGTGTTTCCGAGCCGTCAGATAGTGACGAAGAAACGTTGTGGTTGGATCCATGCCAGCGTCGGCGAGACAAGTGTGTGCAGCAGAAAAGGAGGCGTGCCAGAGATTAAGCTGAGTCACTGGACCACACCCCACAGGCTATAAAAGGGAGTGTGGTGGCCATTCGGACTCTGTGACGGACAAAGCTAAATCTCTGGCGAGTCACTTTGCACCTTTGGACACAACGCCTATTTGCTGTGGATTTAATTACAAACTGGACTATTCAAACTGTGTGTATTTTTGTCTGTGTTATCGGAGTAAAAGTTCTTGGCAGGCAGCCACGGAGTTGCTGCCAAGTTTCTTATCACTGGTGTTTGAAGAGTTTATTTAACCCTCGGCTGGCTATTTGGGTGCGTGTGTGAGACGGGGACAGAACACCAGGCTAGCAAGCAGGCGAATGTGAGTTCAAGCCCCTCCTTAGCCATGAAAGGCAGCTGGGTGACTTTGGGCCAGTCACTTTCTCTCAGCCCACCCCACCCTATAGGGTTGTGGTTGTGGGGACAATAGGAGGCAGTTGTGTTGGACATAGTTGCCACCTTGATTTCTTTGTAAAAATAATAAAGGCAGGATACCAATAAATAAATAAAAATAAGATAGAGGGATGGATAGATGGATGCATGTATGTATGTATGTATGTATGTATGTATGTATGGATGGATGGGTAGGTAGGTAGGTAGATGAGAGAGAGATGATATGGATGGATGGATGGATGGATGGATGATAGAGAGAGAGAGAGAGAGATGAGATGAGATGAGATGAGGTGGGTGGGTGAGTGGGTGAATGGATGGAAACATACATACATACAGACAGACAGACATATTAGATAATCTCCCACTGGTAAACAGTTCAAGGTGTCCACACAGTGTGTATCCACTGTAAAAAAGGCGAACGTTTTCTCCTTCCCAAAATACTAGAACCAAAGGCCACCCAATGAAATTGAATCTTGAAAAAATCATGACAGACAACAGGAAGGATTTTTTAGCACCATACACAATTCAACTTTGAAATTCAACAATTCAAATTTGCGACCACGAAACGTGTAGCCGGCTCTCCGATTGGCCGGCTTCAAACAAGAGGTGAGCCAATTTACGGAAGCCACTGGGATCAATGACTCTTAGTTGTGATGAGAGCGTGACGGCCTCTGAAAAACCATATGCTGGGAGACCAGTAGGCTTCCTTATGCAATTGGTTGTAAGTGTCACAATAGATTGCCAGACTAGATAAGCTAAGGATCTGATCCGGTATGTTCTTATTATATTATGATTTTTCTTCCTTGTCCCTCTGGCATTTCTATCCCTTTTCCCCCCCCTCTCCTGCTTTTATTAGCACATCTTTTCTCTCCCACTTGGAATACTTACGTTCCTCAGCCACATTCTGGAAGTGGACACTATTGTAGGTCCTTCCAGCTGAAGCTACGTGACTTTCCTGTGAGACAAGGCCTTCTGTTTGAAATGGGTCCACGGCAGAAGCTTCCATGTTCCTGTAACGTTTGGAAACCCAGAAAGAAAGTGAATTGGGCATCTGGAATGAAGAGATCACTCACTAAGCAATATATCTGGCAAGTCTGAAAAGAAACAAAAAATTATCTGCAAATAAGTTGTATGGAGAGTTGTATGGAGATATATCTACAGTAGGTTGTCCTTAGGAAATCTACAGTTATTTAATCAAGATGGATCAAGTTGACAAACATTTATTAAGATGGATGTGATGACACCTCTTTCATTAAAAGCCAGTTGAGCTCGACTTCAATATATCTTGAATGTATAGATATCCAGAAGGTGAGCAGACATCGAATAAATCCACATGCAGTTGTAGGAAACCCATCAGTGGTGGGTTCCTCCCGGTTCGGCCCGGTTCTCCCGAGCCGGTAGCAGTGATGATATGACTAAGGTGACCAGACGTCCCGTTTTTGGCGGGACAGTCCCACTTTTGAGCAATTTGTCCCGCGTCCCGTGGCGTTTTAAAAAAGTCCCGATTTTTCATTCTGCCTCCTGGTTCCCGGCTGCCTCCTGAATCCCCGCTGATGGCTAGAGGGAAAAAACCTGTTTAAACTCTTGCCGCGGGGCTTCAAAGGGCTGCCCTACGTTAATTAGCTCGGCTTCCCCCTCTCAGCTGATTTGCACAGGGCTCTGCTCTTGCTAAATTGCTCAGTTTTTTTTCCTCTTTGTGCAAACCAAGCTCAAAACGAAACTGAAAGTAAAACAGGCTGTTGGCTTTGCGGTTTGCTTGCAACGTTGGAAAATTAGGCAGCAGATTTATTTTCCTTTTCCTCACCAAAAAAGGTAAGTGCAAACAATGGAAAATTATTTAGGGCAAAAGAGGAGAGTTCAAGATTTTAAAACACAAAAGAAAAAAAAGCTCTTTTTAACTACGGAATTGTAATAATTGAGATATTATTAATTGTATACTGTGTTGAAAGCAGAAATGGTTAAGTTGTGGTTTGGAGGAATATATGGGGGAAATTATTTGGTTTATTATTATTGGTAAGTATAATTAATTGATTTGTAAGAAATTGGATTGCATGGAAATAATTGGAACATTCATGTTCATATTGATTAATATACAAAAAAGATAGTTATATAACTAATTGATTTATATTAAAATGTTGAATTTGTATTAAACAACTGTATTACATAATTACATAATTAACCAATGTGAGGATGGATATAAAAATAGATGACAATGGGAAGGGGTATAAAATAGAATAGAAGGGAAAAATTGAATTTGATTAAGATTAGAGATGAGGATGAAGGGTAATATTGTTTTTTTAAAAAAATAGATGAGGAATAAATATGGCAAAAAGGAAATATAGAAATTGTAAATTTAATTGAAATGACTAAACACTGTTTAAATTTGTGAACCAGCCAAATATTCTGTTCAAAGAAAATACATTGTATGTATGTGTGTTTCTAATTATTGCTATTTATTCATATTTGTTCTCTTTTATTCTTTAAAGTTTAACAATTCATTCTTTATCTTAATATCTTTATATTTGTTTGGGGTTGGCTTTCTTCCCTTTCATCTTTTTTATTGTACAGCAATCTTTCTCCTCAAACCTACCACCTCTCTCTTTTCTTTCCTTCTTACTTTCTCTTCCCCCCCTCTTCTTCTCCTCCCTACTTCCTCTTCCTTTCTCCTTCTCCTCCTCTCTTCCTCCCTCTCTTAACCGTCACTCCTACTCTAATTTCCCTTCCCTTCCTTCATCCCTCTCTATTGCTGTATCCTTTTATGCATATGGACTACTCAGAGGGCTGAAAAAGTTATTTTTGACTGGTCCTCGCACTTTTGACCAGTCCTCGAACTTACGACTGTCCTCACATTTTACATTTTTGCCCTATCTTGTCATCATGGTGAAGAGAAGCAGTTGTGAAATGAGTGACGTGGTTGTTAAGAATGCTGCACGGGCATAAATGTGAGGATGGTCATAAGTGTGAGGACCAGTCAAAAGTGTGAGGACCTGTCAGAAATGACTTTTTTCAGCCCTCTGGTTAGTCCTTTTGTGCATATGGACTACTCAGACGGCTGAAAAAGTTATTTTTGACTGGTCCTTGCACTTTTGACCAGTCCTCGAACTTACGACTGTCCTCACATTTTACGTTTTTTGCCCTATCTTGTCACCATGGTGAAGAGAAGCAGTTGTGAAATGAGTGACATGGTTGTTAAGAATACTGCACGGGCATAAATGTGAGGATGGTCATAAGTGTGAGGACCAGTCAAAAGTGCGAGGACCTGTCAGAAATGACTTTTTTCAGCCCTCTGGTTAGTCCTTTTGTGCATATGGACTACTCAGAGGGCTGAAAAAGTTATTTTTGACTGGTCCTCGCATTTTTGACCAGTCCTCGAACTTACGACTGTCCTCACATTTTACGTTTTTGCCCTATCTTGTCACCATGGTGAAGAGAAGCAGTTGTGAAATGAGTGACATGGTTGTTAAGAATGCTGCACGGGCATAAATGTGAGGATGGTCATAAGTGTGAGGACCAGTCAAAAGTGTGAGGACCTGTCAGAAATGACTTTCCAGCCCTCTGAGTAGTCCCTATACACATAGCCATGGCCACCCGGTCACATGACCAGCTAGCCACGCCCACCCAGTCACATGGCCTCCAAGCCACGCCCACACAATAAGCCACGCCCACATTGGTGTCCCTCTTACCAATGTTAAAATCTGTTCACCTTACCCTATACACATAGCCATGGCCACCCGGTCACATGACCAGCTAGCCACGCCCACCCAGTCACATGACCAGCTAGCCACGCCCACAAAATAAGCCACGCCCACAATGTCCCTCTTTACCAATGTTAAAATCTGGTCACCTTAGATATGACGTCACCAAACCGGTTCTGCCCCCCCGCCCACCCCCGTGTTATTCTTACCTTTTATTTGGCCCCACCCCCAATCTATTGCTGCCTCCTGAGTCCCACCTGTTTAAACTCTTGCCGTGGGGCTTCAAAGGGCCGCCCTACAGCTGATCAGTGTTAAAAGAAAACAAATGAGTAGACCAGTGCCTGCAAAAATACATGAGTAGATCAGTGCCTGCAAAAATACATGGGTAGACCAGTGCCTGCAAAAATACATGAGTAGATCAGTGCCTGCAAAAATACATGAGTAGATCAGTGCCTGCAAAAATACATGAGTAGATCAGTGCCTGCAAAAATACATGGGTAGACCAGTGCCTGCAAAAATAAATGGGTAGACCGGTACAGCTCTGCAAGCAGTTAAAAGCCTGGTAGACCAGTACCTTGCTAAATCCTAAATAATTGTCACATGACCATCAAGCCACGCCCATAAAACAAGCCACGCCCACAGAACCGGTAGTAAAAATTTATAGAACTTAGTTCACAAGGCTGGTAATTACCTATAAAGCCCTACATGGCTTAGGCCCGGGGTACCTGGAGGACCATCCGCGGCCAGCGACAGCTCCCCATCGCCCGCTGCGCTCTCACAGGGAGGGCCTCCTTGGGGACCCGTCGGCCAGACAGTGTCGGCTGGCGACTCCCAGGGAGCGGGCCTTCTCTGTGGGCGTGCCTACTCTGTGGAATCAGCTCCCCCTGGAACTCCGGATGGCCCCTGACCTTCGCTCTTTCCGCCGTGACCTCAAAACATGGCTATTTGGCCTGGCCGGATTAGACTGAAGGGGTTTTTAAAGGGGATTGTATTGGTTTTTATATTTGAATACTGAATTTTATGTGTTTTTATTGTTGTGAGCCACCCTGAGTCCTTTGGGAGAGAGGGCGGCATACAAGTTTAATAAAATAAAATAAATAAATAAATAAACAGGCTTGGCTCTGGTTAGGACTCTGAGGGGAGATCACCAAGAAATTTAACATCTGTAAGATGGACTAGGAACAGGGGTGCTACTCAGCAGGTTCTGACAGGTTCTGGAGAATCGGTAATGGAAATTTTGAGTAGTTTGGAGAACTGGCAAATGCCACCACTGGGTGGCCCCAGAGTGGGGTGGGAATGGACATTTTGCAATATCTTTCCCCTGGAGTGGGGAGGGAATGGGGATTTTGCAGTATCCTTCCCCTGGAGTGGGGTGGGAATGGGGATTTCGCAGTATCCTTCCCCTGCCACACCCACCAAGCCACACCACATCCACCAAGCCAAGCCAAGGCATGTCGTTCGCTGTCAAAACTTTCCTCCAAGGCGTTTCGAAATATCCTGTCTTGAGCGGATTTCTGCCCGCAGTATTTGCTTTGCTTATGAATGGAGCCATCTAGATAGGTGGCTTCCTCTTTCAATAAACTCTTTAATCTCCTTAAGCGCTGGCAATCTGCCGTGGGATATTAAAAAAGACTGGGTGTGGGATGCTTCCTGCCTCTAAAAACATGTTTCTCCATTTCAATTATATTCATTTTTAGGAATATATCCATTTATGAATATATCCACGTAGCAATTATATCCTCCAATATAACATTCTGCCTTTTTTTTTAATAGTTCCCAAAATATTGGAGTGGGGAAGGGCTTCCCACGCTTTTAAAGGAGCAGAGAGCCCAGCCTGCAGCTTTGCACGTTTGATAAGGAAAATCCCTTCTCAAGACAAAAACCCCAATGACTTTTGCATAAAGGAGGAGGAGCCTGGGATGGATTTATTGCAAAAAGGCGTGGGGAGAGGGGCGTGGACTCTTCCCTCCCCCTCTGCCTTTTCATTTCTCACCCTTCTCTGGGCTGGCTGGGCTTTTGCATTGCAAGCTCCCTTCTGCTTTCCTTTCTCCAGCCAAGCCCAAGGTCCCCACAACTTACCAGCTATGGGGACAGCAGCTGCACTCCTGAATGCTACTCTCTCCAGAACTGCTCAGCTTCCATAGAAAAGCAAAGCCGGGGAGTGGGGGGGGGGGAGAAGAGGGGGGGAAGAGAAGAAGAAGGAGGATACAACCGGAAATGGGTTTTCCCCTGTCTTCCCCCCCCTCCCCGCCTCCCCCCCAAATGCCATTCTAGGACTGTTTTATTCACTCTTTTTAACCCTTGGAGGAGGAGAGCTAGCAACACTCTTCCCTTCTGGAGGAAGAAAGGGAGGGAGGGAGGGAGACCGAGAGAGAGAGAAAGAGAAAGAAAAAAGGAAGAAAGGAAGAAAGAAAAAGAAAGAGAGCGAGAAGGAGAGAGAGAAAGAAAAAGAAATGAATGAAAGAAAGAAATGAAAGAAAAGAAAGAGAGAGAGAGAAAGAAAGAAAAAGGAAGGAAGAAAAAGAAAGAAAGAGAAAGAGAGAGAGAGAAAGAAAGAAATGAAAGAAAGAAGAGAGAGAAAGAAAGAAAAAAGGAAAGAAGGAAGAAAAAGAAAGAGAGAGAAAGAGAAAGAAAGAAAGAAAAAGGAAGAAAGAAAAAGAAAGAAAGAAAGAAAGAAAGAAAGAAAGAAAGAAAGAAAGAAAGAAAAAAAGAAAAAGAAAGAAAGGAAAAAAAACATGGATCAGTTTGGACGGGGTGAATGCACGCAAGGTTGAAGAACAGTGATTTGGCTCCTTAGCCGAGAAGAAACCCCCCCCCCCAATAAAACAATAAATAAAATTCTGTAGATTGAAAATTCGGGAGCTTGGAAACGGGTGGCCGCTAGGTAGATTTTTTGAATCTCTGCCGTATTTCCCGCATGAAAAAGGGGGGAAGACTGAGTTTAGGTATTGTACAATGCAGCCTAGTGATTGACAAGACGTGATGGATAGGATAGGATAGGATAGGATAGGATAGGATAGGATAATGAATTAGAGTAGAGTAGAGTAGAGTAGAGTAGAGTAGAGTAGAATAGAATAGAATAGAATAGAATAGAATAGAATAGAATAGAATAGAATAGAATAGAATAGAATAGAATTAGAACAGAACAGAAAGAATAGAACAGAATAAAATTGAGAATAGAATTAAGAATAGAATAGAATATAGAACAGAATAGAAATAGAATAGAATAAAGAATAGCATAGGATAGAATTAAGAATATAATATAATAAAAACAGGATAGAGTAGAAGAATAAATAGAAAGGAATAGAATAAAGAATACAACAATAGAATTGAGAATAGAAAGAATTAAGAACAGAACAGAACAAAAGCACAGCACAGAATTATTTATTGATCAAGTCTGATTGGACCCAAGGAATTTGTCTCCGGTGCAGAAGCTCTCAGTCTACATACAAATAACTAAATAATATAATCGTAAGATGGAAGCCTAATTGACTTCAGTGGGGCTCTCTCCTGTAATAAGAGATAATAGGTTTCTTTGAAGTCGAACCACCCCTACTGGGGACTGTGGGAAGAATCTATAAACGTGACAACTGCGTTAGAAATATCGTAAAGGGAATCATATGTTAACTGATCCACGTCCGGTCTCCACAAAGTTGCTGATTTACAGTAACTCTGAAATCTTTTAAACTTACTCAAGTGGAAGAATTAATTAAACATTTATTTCGAATGATAAACACGCACAAGCAAACACACAAAACGCAATATCAACATGACACTCCCGATTCAACCGAAGAGAAACAGTGGCGGGAGGCTCCGCCCACCCACCCAGACGTCATCAAAAACGCTCTGCGCACACACAGAACCTTCTGCGCATGTGCAGAAGTGCCGCGCACTCGTGAAGCGAGCCCGCGTGCCCATGCGCTCCCAATAGCAAACCGGTAGCGCTGGGATTTGAAACCCACTACTGGACTCAATCCACATCACTTAATTTAATCAGCCTGTACTGCCCCAGCTACGGACCCCAAAGAACGCAGCACACACAAAGTCTGTTCAAATCTTAGTTTATTAAATAAACCAGTTTTTTACAACAACTGCTGTTAATTAACTGCATTAACAGCCGCCAAGAATTCAAAGAATAATACTGAAAGCTTACTGTGGTTGGCAGACTGCCCAGAAGCAATTTGCAGGAAGCTGATAAAATAAGCAAGACAAGGCACGAAGGTATGTGAACAAAGTTGTTCCCTGCAAATTGCTTCAGTCGGCGTTCCTCCTTAAATAGGCTAAGGGAGTGGCCAATTCGCCCCAAGCCTTACTCTCGAGGAGACCTCCTCCTGAGGAGCCACTCCTGCCTTTTGGCAGCTCTGCCTGCCCGTGCATCGAGAAGAGGCTCCTCCTCTTCGTCCTCTTCACTTATGGGAGCTTCTGGAGGTTCTAAGGCCCTGGCTGAATCCCCGCCTCTGGTACCACATCTTCTCCAGCCTCATTGTCTGACTCGAGTGCCAGCTGCACAGACTGCTGGCGCAGCACCACACCAGCCTCCTCGCTGTCTGAATGAGCTACTAGCTGCACAGGCCACGTACGGGCCACAACACAACCCTTTCTCTGGGGTCAATACATAGACACGCCCACACACCACCAGGGTCACCCTAAAGTCAGCACCAAGACACGTCCACACCCAGGACAAGCTCCCCTTATAAAACAATGTCTCTGTACCCCATTTTCTCTCCTGCTGCCCCCATAAGGCAAATCTCTTGGCCTTTGGGAATAAATCATTCTCCTTTCGTCCCAGCTGCCTGGATTTCATTTTTACTTATTCCTGCATAACCTCAGTTCGGGTTGGGACTGGAAATTATTCTTCTGACAGGGCCTTCGCTTCTGAAGTACAGGTAGTCCTCGACTTATAACAGTTCATTTAGTGACTGTTCAAAGTTACAATGGCATTGAAAAAAGTGACTTTTTATTTATTTATTTATTTATTTATTTATTTATTTATTTATTTATTTATTTATTTATTTATTTATTTATTTATTTATTTAATTTCTATACCGCCCTTCTCCCGAAGGACTTATGACCATTTTTCAGACTTACGACCATTGCAGCATCCTTACGGTCACGTGATCCGGATGCTTGACAACTGACTCACATTTATGACGGTTGCAGGGTCCCTGAGTCATGTGATCCCCTTTTGCGACCTTCTGACAAGCAAAGTCAACGGGGAAAGCAGATTCACTTAACAACCGTGTGACTAATTTCAAAACCGCACTGATTCACTTAACAAACGTGGCAAGAAACGTCATAAAGTGGGACACAACTCGCTTAATAAATGTCTCCCTTTAGCAACATAAATGGGCTCAATTGTGATCGTAAGAGAAGTTTCTGGTTTTATCTTTATATTCTGAATCTTACTCAGTGGTGAAATTCAAATTTTTTTACTGCCAGTTCTGTGGGCGTGGCTTGGTGGGCATGGCTTGGTGGGCATGGCAGGGGAAGGATACTACAAAATCTCCATTCCCAGCCAACTCTGGGGCCAGCCAGAGTGTTGTGGCTTCGTTGCCTGAGCCTGGGCTATCGACAGATGCAGACTCTGTGAGTGAGGGAGAGGAGTTGGCAAGGCCTCCCTCTCCAGGACCCTCCTCTCTGGCAATGCCTCCGGAGGACACTGAAGGCCAAGAGATAGGCCCAGAGCCAAGCACGTCCCCGCAGCCACAGGTGGACAGTGATGAAGGAGATAAATGCTGGCTGGATCCTCGACAGCGGCGCAGGGAGAAGCGTGCACAGCAGAGGGGAAGGTGTGCCAGAGATTAGCTGAGTCACTGGACCACACCCCACAGGGTATAAATGTGGGTGTGGTGGCCGGTTCAGTTTGTGATGAGCAAAAACTAGAAATAATCCATGATCTCTGCATTACTGGACTTCTGCCTGCCTTGTCGAACTGCATTTGGACTAATCCTTTTATTGCTGAAACTTTGCCTGCTTTATCGGAATGCTTGCAGTCTAATCTTTGTTTTGTGTGAGTAAAGTCTGAATTGGCAGCTAGGCACTGGGTTGCTGCCAGCTTTATCTTCAAAGACTTTGTCGTGTGGCTTATTAACTCTGGGCCGTCTGTGGGGGTGCGTATGTGGGACGGGGACAGAACACAGAGGTGGCATTTGCCGGTTCTCCAAATACTCAAAATTTCTGCTACCGGTTCTCCAGAACCTGTCAGAACCTGTTGGATTTCACCCCTTATCTTACTCCAATATGTCTTTGCAGACTAGATCAATGTTTCCCAACCTTGGCACTTTAAGATGTGTGGACTTCCATCTCCCAGAATTCCAGCTGGGAATTCAGCTGGGAATTCAGCTGGGAATTCTGGGAGATGAAGTCCACGCATCTTAAAATCGCGGAGGTTGAGAAACACTGCACTAGATGGGTCTCCCACCAGTAACACAGCAGCACACTTTTGGTGGTGCGGGATTTCTTTGCCGTTTTCCTCAGCATTTCTTTCACTACGCACTTCCACAGTGTTGTTCCCTGAATACAAAATCAGAAAGTCTCCTCCCTAAGGGATACATGGAGGCAGTGGTGGGATTCAATTTTTTTAACAACCAGTTCTGTGGGCGTGGCTTAGTTGGGAGTGTGGCTAGCTGGTCATGTGACTGGGTGGGTGTGGCTAGCTGGTCATGTGACTGGGTGGGCGTGACTAGCTGGTCATGTGACTGGATGGGCGTGGCTATGTGCATGGGACTACTCAGAGGGATGAAAAAAGTCATTTCTGACTGGTCCTTGTACTTTTGATCGGTCCTCGCACTTATGACCATCCTCACATTTATGCCTGTTGCAGCATTCTTAACAACCATGTCAGTCATTTCACCACTACTTCTCTTCACCACGTCGACCAGATTGAGTGCAAAACGTAAAATGTAAGGACAGTCGTAAGTTCAAGGACTGGTCAAAAGTGCGAGGACCGGTCAAAAATAACTTTTTCACCCCTCTGAGTAGTCCTTATGCACATAGGGACTAGTCAGAGGGCTGAAAAAAGTCATTTCTGACTGGTCCTTGCACTTTTGACCGGTCCTTGCACTTATGACCATCCGCACATTTATGCCCATTCTGTGTGTTGCGAGGCCAATAAATTACAAAAAAACACTGAACCGTTTGTTAAGTTACTGGCTCACCTGCCCCTCGCCCCACCCCGCCCCCACTATTTATTGGCAAGGGGCGGGGCAAGCCAGCAATTGAACAAACAGTTCCGCCAAACCTCCTAAAACCGGCAGAATCCCACCACTGCATGGAGGGCATCCGGACATGGTCTTTTGGGGAGGCCGATCATGATAAGAATGCAAAGAAGTCAATTAAAATCTTAACTTATTTTTACTTAGTTAAATAAAGTACAGAGGGCCAGCAGGAAGGGATGAACGTAAGATCCAGTCTGAGCTATGTTACACCTTCTCACCTCTTAGATTAGATTAGATTAGAAGTCTTTATTGGCCAAGTGCGATTGGACACACAAGGAATTTGTCTTTGGTGCATATCCTCTCAGTGTACATAAAAAAGAAAAGATACATTCGTTAAGAATCATAAGGTACAACACTTAATGATAGTCATAGGGTACAAATAAGCAATCAAATCCTACTAGGAAACAATATAATCATAAGGGTACAGCAACAAATTACAGTCATACAGTCATAAGTGGGAGGAGATGGGTGATAGGACCGATGAGAAGGTTAATAGTAGTGCAGACTTAGTAAACAGTTTGACAGTGTTGAGGGAATTATTTGCAGAGTGATGGCGTTCAGGGAAAAAAACTGTCCTTGTGTCTACTTGTTCTGGTGTGCAGTGCCCTATAGCATCATTTTGAGGGTAGGAGTTGAAACAATTTATGTCCAGGATGCGAGGGGTCTGTAGATATTTTCACAGCCATCTTTTTGACTCGTACAGTATACCGGTCCTCAATGGAAGGCAGGATGGTAGCCACTGTTTTTTCTGCAGTTCTAATTATCCTCTGAAGCCTGTGTCTGTCTTGTTGGGTTGCAGAACCAAACCAGACAGTAAGGGGTTAAAGCAAGAGAGGCGAGATGGCTAAAAAGGCCAAGAGGAAGGAAAGAGATGGGGGAAACCAGCCGTTTCCTGTCCTGTGTCCTGTCTTGCCCCTCCTCCTCATCTCCCCCCTGGTCAAAGGGGTCTTTGTCTTGGGATGCCTGGTGAGTTCCTCCCTGGGAAGGGAGGGAGGCTACCTGGAATGGCGGCGTCAGGTGATGGCAGTGGGGAGGGGGCCAGCTATGGAGAGCCCACACCTGCGGAGGGATGGAGACCCAAGGGTGGGGGGAAGGAGGATTCCAACGGTCAAAGAGGACCAAAAGACCACCCCCTTCCAGACATCTGGCGCTCTTGCTCTTGGTCTCGAGTCCACCGTCCACTCTCCGCCCATTGAAGTGAAATGCAATTTACGGAGGAGGAAAGTTTAACTTAAGCCCTTTGAGTCCCTTCCTATGGAGTTTGTCAACAGTGTTAAGTATCTGGGGATGCAGATAACGAACAATCTGACTTGGTCTCTTCCTACGTTATCTTCAGCGAAGTGTGCTGCGACCTTGGGACACAGCAACGGTCATAGAATAGAGTAGAGTAGAGTAGAGTAGAGTAGAGTAGAGTAGAGTAGAGTAGAATAGAATAGAATAGAATAGAATAGAATAGAATAGAATAGAATAGAATAGAATAGAATAGAATTCTTTTATTGGCCAAGTGTGATTGGACACAGAAGGAATTTGTCTCTGGTGCAGGAAACCCTACCCCATTTCTGACAAATGGCAGTCCAATCTTTTCTCGAAGGTCTCAAATGATGAAGCTCCCACAATGTCCGAAGGCAACTTTGTTCCATTGGTTGATTGTTCTCACTGTCAGAAAGTTCCTCCTCATTTCTAGGTTGAACCTCTCCTTGGTCAGTTTCCATCCATTATTCCTTGTCTGGCCTTCAGGTGCTTTGGAAAACAGCTTGATCTCCTCTTTTTGGCAGCCCCTCAAGTATTGGAAGACGGCTATCATGTCTCCCCTGGTCCTTCTCTTCACTAGACTAGCCATGCCCAGTTCCTGCAACCGTTCTTCATATGTTTTAGTCTCCAGTCCCCTAATCATCCTGGTTGCTCTTCTCTGCACTCTTTCTAGAATCTCAACATCTTTTTTTATAGTGTGGTGACCAAAACTGGATGCAGTATTCTAGGTGTGGTCTTACTAAGGCTTTACAGAGTGGTATTAGGACCTCCCTTGATCTTGATTGTATCCCTCTGTTAATACAATTTAGGATTGCATTGGCTTTTTTGGCTGCCGCTGCACACTGCTGGCTCATAATTAATTGGTTGTCTACTAAGACTCTCGGTGTACATAAAAAAAAATACATTAATCAAGAATCATAATCAGTTGCCAAGCATCCGAATTTTGATTACGTGACCCGGGGGGATGCCGCAACGGTCGTAAGTGTGGAAAAACGTCACTTTTTTCAATGCCATTGCAACTTCGGACGGCCACTAAAGGGACTGCTGTAAATCGAGGACTGCCTGTATAACACTTGGAACTCCTAAAAAGAAAAAGACAGGATGTAACTCTCACTGGCAAATAAATATATAAATAAATAAAACGACAAGGGCACCGAACGGAGTGTTTTTCAATCAGATTAATTCAGCCTTCTACCCTCCAGATGGGCAGTATTTCCATTGGGTCTGTGACAATTCACCACGGCCAACTCGCCATCCCCAGTTTGCTACCACCAACTTGCCACAGCTAAGTTGCTGCAGGACAGTTTACCACGGCCATCTCACCGCAGGACAGCTCGCTGCGGGACAAGAGGTTTTTTTTTTTTTTGGTTTGATTTATATGCCGCCCTTCTCCAGAGACTCAGGGCAGCTTACAATGCGTTAAGCAATAGCCTTCATCCTTTTGTATATTTATACAAAGTCAGCTTATTGCCCCCACAATCGGGGTCCTCATTTTACCTACCTTAGAATGGATGGAAGGCTGAGTCAACCTTGACCCTGGGGAGATTCGAACTTGCAGTAATTGCAGGCAGCTGGTGTTAATAACAGTGCTTTAGTCTGCTGTGCCACCAGGATCTTATTAGTTACACTAATATCAAAGAAATGGTGGAATAGAATCATTAAAGAAAGGATGCAAAAGGAGGGACAGAATGAAACGTGAATGGCAAAAAGTAAAATACTTTTTAAAATTTATTTTAAATAATTAAATAGAATTGTTAAATTGTCCCACGGAAAGTTACCCAGAGGTGAGATGCTCCCGGTTCGGACCGGATCTCCTGATCCGGTAGCGATGGCGGCGGATAGTTTGGAGAACTGGTAGCAAAAATCCCTCCCCACCCCCATGCCCAGCTGAGCTGCGTGATCATCAGACGCTTTGTTTTTTACTTTTAAAAGCATTTTTTTAACAACCTCTTCGGCCGAAGAGATTGTAGAACAAATGCTTTTAAAAGGCTCAGACGATCCCAGCTGAGTTGCCTGATCGTCAGAGGCTTTTTTTTCTTTTAAAAGCAAAAAAAAAAAAAAAAGTTTTTAAAAGAAAACAAAAGCCTCTGACGATCAGGCAACTCAGCTGGGATCGTCAGAGCCTTTTAAAAGGCTTAAAAGGCATTGGACCTGGATACCTTCGAGACCGTCTTCTGCCACCAGTAGCCTCCCACCGGCCAGTTCGCTCCCACAGAGAGGGTCTCCTCAGAGTGCCATCGGCCAAATTATGTCAGCGGGTGACACCCAGGGGGAGGGCCTTCTCTGTGGGAGCCCCTGCCCTTTGGAATGAACTGCCCCCAGAAATTCGTAAAATCTCTGATCTCCGTGTGTGTTTCGCTGTGCCCTCAAAACCATGTTGTTCCGCCAGGCTGGGCTATCAATGTAAAGATTTTAATTGGTTTTAAATGGGATTTTAAATTTGGGGTTTTATAAATTGGGCCTATTATTTAATAATTTTAATTATTTTTGAATTTTGTCTGTCTTTGTGTTTTTAATTAGGCTGTACACCGCCCTGAGTCCTTCGGGAGAAGAGCGGTATAGAAATAAAATAAAATTAAATAAATAAATAAATAAATAAATAAATAAATAAATAAATAAAAAAAAAAAAAAAGCATTTGTTCTATAACCTCTTCGGCCGAAGAGGTTGTAGAAAAAATGCTTTTAAAAGTAAAAAAAAAGAAGCTGGCCACGCCGACCCGGTCACATTACCCCCCCACCAAGCCACGCCCACAGAACCGGTAGTAACAAATTTTACATTTCACCACTGGAGTTACCTCGTGGCGAGTTGGCCGTGGCGATGTATCCAGCGGTGAGTTGGCCGTGGTGAGTTGGCCCATTCCCTTTCCATTCCCCACATCCCTAGGTATTCTGAGATCTGCAGTTCAGCACATCTGGGAAGCCCCAAGTTGGGAGAAGTAGGCTTATGGCTTTTTTTTATTTTCCATTGTTACAGGTGTGACTGTCTCTATGGTGCCTTCATTTGCCCTTTGAGGTTTAAAGTTTCTCTACCAGGAGATGCCACAGTTACCAGCTGGCACTGCTTACCAGATCCTTTACCGCTTTGAGAATGTGCTACACCTTGGTTGTTTATAGCTTCGGACCCTGTTTCCTTTAAGAAGAAGTTTCAGGGAACTGCGCCTCCCTACTCCTGATGGGATCTACCCTGGAACAATTCAAAAATGGAGCAAAACCTGACTGGCTCAGAAGCAGGAAGGAACTCTGATGTTCTCCAGGTAGAGCTCGGGGCTGCCAAGACGATGCCGGGAGAATCCGACCACACGGTGGATGCCCGATGCCTTCACTTCCGGCAGTTCCGCTACGGGGAGATCTGGGGACCCCGAGAGGTGTTCAACCGGCTCCGTGATCTTTGCTTCCTGTGGCTCCAACCTGAGCGTCATACAAAGAATCAGATCCTGGATTTGGTGATCCTGGAGCAGTTCCTGGCTGTCCTTCCTCCAGAGATGGAGTGTTGGCTTCGAGAATGTGGGCCGGAAACCAGTTCTCAGGCGGTGGCCCTGGCCGAAGGATTCCTGCTGAGTAAAGTGGAAGAAAAGTCTCAGGAAGAGCAGCAGGTGAGTATCCTGGTCCAGGTATTCCTCGACTTATGACCATAATATGAGCCAAGGATTTCCGTTGCTAAGCAAGGCAGCTGTTAAATGAGTTTTGCAACCTCTTGCAATCTTTCTCATCACAATTGTTAACTGAATCAGTGCAATTGTTTTTTTTATAACAATTTTATTAATTGATGATATAACATAAAAAAAAAATACAAAAGCAAAAAGAAGGAGAAATAGGAAAGGGGAAGGAAAAAGAGTGGAGAAGAAGGGGGAAAAAGAAAGAAAAAGCATTGACTTTCAACTCCCTTAGGATAATAACCACAATCAACCCACAATCAAAGCACAACTTTTTAGTTTTACATAGCACTTTAAACTAGCCATTTCCGTGACACCACATCTATCTAATCGGTAAAGCCCCAAATCAAAGTTTTTTTCTACCCTCAAGCACAAAGTCCAGAAGTGGTTTCCAAGTAGAAACAAAGGTATTTCCTTGATCAAAGCAGTCAATTTAACCATCTCTGCTAACTCCTCCAACTTTTGCAGCCATCCGTCCATTGTGGGAATAGAAATGTCCTTCCAACGTCCTTTATGAATGTGAATTGCTGCAATTGTTAAGTTGGTAATATGGTTGTTAAGTGAATCAGGCTTCCCCACTGACTTTGCTTATCAGAAGCTAAGTGAGTTTTGGGCCTTTTTACGACTTTTCTTGCCACGTTAAAGGAATCACTGCAATTGTTAGTAATACCATTGTTAAGTGAATCCGGCTTCCCGATTGGCTATGCTTGTCAGAAGGTCACAAAAGGAGATCATTGCAACCGTCATAAATATGAACCAATTGCCAAGCATCTGAGTTTTGATCATGTGATCATGAAGATAGAAAAACATGCATAAATCACTTTTTTTTGGATGCTGTTGTAACTTCTAATGGTCACTAATCGATTGGTTGTAAGTTGAAGACCATCCGTAGTTGCAAAGAGCAAGTAACCATAATCTTTAGAAAAGCACTGTGATCCCTTACAGTCCCTTTCTCACCTGGAAACCTTCTACTCTTCTTTTCCAGGGTCAGGAAAATTTTCCAGACTTGGCCAATGAGATGGGGAAAGCTCCTTTGAGCATCAGACCCAGAACATTTTTCAGGTGGATTGTGGAGGAGGAACCTGAGCAGATTGCTTCTTGTCAAGGTAAGGCCTTCCTTGACAGATTTCTCCTTTATATCCCTTTCTCACCTTTATCTGAAATCTGGAAAGATTTTTTTTTTTTTTTTTGGAGTTGCCTTATTTCACCAGAGACAAAAGGTTGAATGACTTATTTTTATTAACTGTATTTATAACCTTTTTGAATCCCAAAGGATTCTGGGAAGTATACAATAAACCACAAAATAAATCAAAATCCATATTAAAACAAAAAAATGTAAAAAAAAAAAAAGTTAAGATAAATCCCTTTTGTGTCCGTCACAGGTGAAGGAATGACGCCAGTGATCCAGTCGAGGTGGCACCCGTATGGAAATGGAATAGAAGCAACTCTTGTAGAACCACGTCAGGTATAAGAATGACTCTTGAATAGATAAGCAAGGGCTTTGGAGTCTTCACCTCTCTATAGTTTAATGGGACCAGTTACTATAATCAAGACTGGATTATGAAAGGCTCATCTGGGTTTGGCTGCTTCAAAACTGGTTGAGCCGCTTCAGTTTCTTGAAGGCCACTTGGCATTTGATGGGTCAATTTAGTGGCTGGCTTGGTTTAGGTTTTACCCCTACCCCAGTCTTAAGCAGGTTGGTGATGGACAGAGCTATCTGGGCAAAAGTGGGGATGAACTGCTGATAGAAGTTTGCAAATCCCAGAAAGCTCTGTAGCTGCTTCCTGGTCTGAGGGGCCTCCCACTCCAGAATCACCCTTACCTTACCCGGGTTCATTTCCACCCCAATCTTAGCGATGCAATACCCTAGATAGTCTAGGCCAGTGATGGTGGAAATGTCACATGCACGCACTCATCAGGGCTGTGCTCCAGAAAAGCTGAACTTCCGGGTTCTAGTGCGCATGCATGCCTGACAATTAGCTCACTGGCACGCATGTGCAGGCTGATTTTCGGCACTGCTGCATGCGTGAAGGAATCATGCTCCGGAAAAGCCAAACGTCCGGGTTCTAGTGTGCATGCATGCCTGACAATCAGCTGGCTGGCATACATGCACAGGCCAGTTTTCAGCACTGCTGCGTGCATGAAGGGATCACGCTCCGGAAAAGCCAAACTTCTGGGTTCTGGCATGCATGCGCACCAGAGGTGGGTTCTACTTACCTTTACTACCGGTTCGCAACGGGAGCACGCATGCTTGCTTCACTCGCTTGCACGTGCTTCTGCACATGCGCAGGTCATCAATTATGATGTTCGGGTGGGTGGATGGAGCCTCCCACTGCTTTTACTAACAGTTCTAAAGAACCGGACAGAACCGGGAGCAACCCACCACTGATGTGCACCCGACAATCAGCTGGCTGGCATGCATGCATACACAGGTTTTTGGCACTGCAGCATGTGTGAAGGGCAGCTGATCGTCATGCGCGCATGCATGCCAGAAACCCGGAAGACAAACAGGCAAGGTCGTGTGTGCCAGGCAACATGGCTTCGTGTGCCACTTTGGCTATGTGTGCTATAGGTTCGCCATCATGGGTCTAGACTGGTCTTGTGTCACATTTAAAGTCACATTTAAATAGCTTTGCGTACAACTGGGCTTTTCTTAGCTTCTCAAGTACTGCCTTCACTAGCCTTACGTGTTCTTCCATGGTCTCGGTATAAATTAGGATATCATCTAGGCATACGAGCACCCTTTGGTACAGGTGTTTGTGCAGGACTTTGTTTATCAACTACATGAATACCGCTGGTGCCCCTTGCAGCTCAAATGGCATCAAAGAATTTAAAGAATTTATTTCTAGAGAATCTCAGCTTCATTTTATGAACATCAGAAGAATCCTGAAGCTGGGTCAGATCACTCTAGACTAGCATTCTGTTTCTCTTAGGCTGGCTTTGAGATGCTCCAAAACAGAATTAAGAAGACAACAGCTATCTCCTGATTCGGCTGGTCTCCTTCTGAATGTTTGTTGAAAAAGCTGTTGAGCATGTTTTGTCCTCTGTAATTTGAAAAATAAGAGCTTGGCCTTGGTGGATCAGGCAAGACCCATAATTGTCCACCATTTTCCTTCTCAGAGTGGCCAACTGGGTGCTTCTGGGGCATCACCTACAATCAGAGGAAGACATCTTGCTCTTTTGCTGTTATTCCTCTCCTAGTGCTATCTGAAGCCTTAAGCCACTAATTTGGACTAATATTCAGTCTTCAGGACAAAGACTCTTACTGATCTAGACTTCAGGGCCAGTGAGTTTAGATGTCTGAGGATAGGCTGAAACAGACCTATCCCCCAACTTCTCACAGAGTCAATGGGAAGAAATGGTGGGCATTTCTTGTAGGCAGAAATTCTTTATCCTCCCAAAGGTGCTTTTTTAAGAGGCAACTGGACTTTCTGGTTTTTCTTTGAAGACGTTTTGTTTCTCATCCAAGAAACTTCTTCAGTTCTGGCTGGATGGTGGGGAATGGAAGGATTGATACTCCTTGCAGACAGCTGGTCATTTGCATTCTTTTTAGAGAGTTGTTGAGGTCACTTGAGGTTTATCTGGTCATCAGAGGTCATCAGAGTCACCTTAGTAGTGTAAATGGGTGTCGAGCCTTCTTGGAACTGTTGAAAGGACTGTGTTGTGGACTGGAGATAGATGATGTCTGTAACACAGTCCTTTCAACAGTTCCAAGAAGGCTCCACAGCCATTTGCACTTATCCGGTGACCCTGATGATAGAGATAAACCTCCAGGTGGCCTCAATGACTCTCTAAAAGAATGCAAATGACCAGCTGTCTGCTAGGAGTATAAATCCTTCCATTCCCCACCATCCAGTCAGAGCTTCCAGTCTTGGATGAGAAGTGAAATGTCTTCAAAGAAAAACCATGACCTGGAAGACTGAGAATCTCCATAGACTCTTTGTCATCCTGTTCTGAAAATAAGTTTTTTAAAAAATTCACGTCTTTCTCTTTGGTCCTCCAGAATCTGGTGACTTTTGAAGATGTGGCAGTCTACTTCACAGATGAGGAGTGGGCATTGCTGGATCCAGAACAACGATCTCTCCATGTGGAAATGATGGAGGAGAACTGCGGAAATTTGGCTTTTCTGGGTAAATTGTGTTCCTTCGGGGCCCTTGATGGGACAAATGGATGAGGCCAAAAGGGTTACTCTTTTTTTCAGGACTTGTTCTACTCTTAGGAAAGTTTTCACCAACGATCCCAACATTCAGCAGCACCAGTGGATGGAGGGGGGTAGTTGGGGGATATTGCAAGAGAGTCAGGTTGATGAAAGCAGAGCAGCAATGCAAACCCATCTCTACTCATCATATGAATGATATCACTTGCTCGCCTAATGTCATGTTGCTGTGTTCGTCATTCCAACAAAAGTGGCCAGATCATGCAGACCCCACATATGGTATCTTGAATTATGCTAAGAAGCATGTGAAATGAGTCCCCAATGCTTTAAAACTGCATATTCTTCATCCTAGCTTGAGCATTGTTTCTCAACCTTGTCAACTTTTAAGATGAATTTGAATAGAACTGGATGGGACCTTGGAGGTCTTCTACTCCAGCCCCATGCTCAAGCAGAAGATCCTATATCATTTCAGACAAGTGACTGTCCAGTCTCTTCTTAAAACCTCCAGTGATGAAGCATCCACAACTTCTGGAGGCAAGCTGTTCCATTGGTTGATCGTCCTCACTGTTAGCAAGTTCCTCCTTAATTCCAGGTTGCTTCTCTCCTTGATTAGTTTCCATCCATTATTTCTGGTCATACCTTTTGGTCAGTGGTGTGAAGTTTCTGAAAGATGCCCTAATTTGCTCATGGCAACTTGAAAGCTTTGCAAGTTGACAAGTGGTGGGTTTCAAATTTTTTTACTACCAGTTCTGTGGGTGTGGTTTGGTGGGCAAGGCTTGGCTTGGTGGGCGTGGCAGGGGAAGGATACTGTAAAATCTCCATTCCCTCCCCACTCCAGGGGAAGGTTACTGCAAAATCTCCATTTCCTCCTGATCAGCTGGGATTCGGGAGGCAGAGAATAGATGAGGGCGGGGCCAGTCAGAGGTGGTATTTACCGGTTCTCCGAACTACTCCAAATTTCCGCTACCAGTTCTCCAGAACTGGTCAGAACCTGCTGAAACCCACCTCTGCTTCTGGTGCTTTGGAAAATAAATTGACCCTCCTCTTTGTGGCAGCCCCTCAAATACTGGAATACTGCTATCACCTGCCTAGTCCTTCTTTTCTTTAGACCAGCCAAACCCAAATTTTGCAACCGTTCTTCATATGTTTTAGTCTCCAGGCCCTTAATCATTTTAGTTGCTTTTCTTTGCAATTTTTCCAAAGTTTCAACATCTTTTTTGCAATGTGGTGACCAAAACTGGATGCCATATTCCAGGTGTGGTTTTACTTTATAAAGCAGTACTTTACGTGATTTTGATTCTGATTTGGATGCATGGACTTCAACGTCCAGGATTATCCAAATGTGAAAGTGGAGGTTATGGTTGCAGGATGACACTCCATCCCTTTTTAACGCCCTTCTCTTTTTGTTCCAGCCGGGGACAGCTGGAAGGCCAAAACAGAGGAAGAAGTCCATGGGCTGTTTTTGGAAAAGGCTGCGAATAAGGAAGAGAAAAAGCAGAGCCAGAATATGGAAGAGAAAAAAAAGAGGACACCTCCATCTCATGTTTTTCGGGATGTTGAGATCTGTAAATTCCCAGCCCTAGAAACCACATGCAATGGGAAAAGAAGCAGCCAGTGCCTGGCATGCGGGGAAACCTTCAGCTGCAAGTTGAGCCTTAACGCTCATTTGAAAACCCACAAAGAGGAAAAACCCTTTAAGTGTCCCGACTGCGGGAAAAGCTTCTCGCAGAGGAAAGGCCTGATAAGGCACGAGAGGATTCACACAGGGGAGAAGCCTTACGCCTGCTTGGAATGTGGGAAGAGCTTTGGTCAGAGCGCGGCCCTCATCACCCATCAGCGCATTCACACCGGGGAGAAGCCGTACACTTGCCTGGAGTGCGGAAAGAGCTTCTGCCAGAAGACCACGCTGGTCCGTCACCAGCGAATCCACACAGGCGAGAAGCCCTATGCATGCGGGGAGTGCGGGAAAAGTTTCAGCCATCGGTCGCAGCTGACATCCCACCTGAGAGTCCACACGGGAGAGAAACCGTACAAATGTTCGGAATGCGGGAAGAGTTTCAGCCAGAACACAAACTTGACGTTGCACCAACGAACTCACACCGGGGAGAAACCCTTCCGGTGTTTGGAGTGCGGAAGGAGTTTTAGCCACAGCTCGACTCTAATGGCCCATCAGAGAACTCACACGGGAGAGAAGCCGTTCACCTGCTTGGACTGCGGGCAGAGTTTTGCCCAAAACGCCAGCCTTATTTTCCATCAAAGGACCCACACGGGGGAAAAACCCTACACGTGTCCAGACTGTGGTAAAAGTTTTAGCACCAGCACCAGCCTGACTTCGCATCGCCGTATTCACACGGGCGAGAAGCCCTACGCATGTGCCGAGTGCGGGAAGAGCTTCTGTACGAGTACAAATCTTGTCACCCATCAAAGGATTCACACAGGGGAAAAGCCATTCAAATGTTCTGAGTGTGGGGAGAACTTCCGGAAAAAAGCCCATCTCCTGCGCCACCACCTCACGCACACTGGGGAAAAGCCGCACAAATGCGTGGAGTGTGGGAAGAGCTTTAGCGAGAAAAGGAACCTTAATTCACATCAAAGGATCCACTCTGAGTATTGGAGTGAGGAACCTCGCAGTAGCAGTTGGGGGCTTCCTTCTCTAAATTCAGATAGTCCCCCCATTTCACAGGACTCTGGTTCTTTCCAGAGCCATTTGCAGCACGATTCTAATCCAGAAGGAAATTTGGAGTGTTTTACACTCCACTTCTCAGTGAACAGATGACAGGGTGCAGGCGCGTGGGGCAGCTCCACCCCCACCTTAGCTTGATTTTTATGCCTGCGTCTTGCCCCACCTCGTACAACCAGATGGTGTGCAGGGCTTAACTAGGACTTATTTTTGGGGTAGGGCTTATATTAGGCGCAGGCATGAAAATTGGACTAGGGCTTGTTTTCGGAGTCGTATTTTCAGGGAAACATGGTAGAATGCCAGTTTAAATCTAAAATAACAAAATAGGCTTAACGTTTCTGTTTCGGATAATGGATCATGTGAATTTCTCTCGATTTTTATCCATTCGGCCAGTAGAGGTTTTCCACAATATAGTAGCATTACAAAAAGGTAGAATACCATACATTCAAATCCAGGCAGTCCTTGAGTTACAATCATTCGTTTAGTGACCAAAGTTACAGCAGCCCTGAGAAAGTAATTGATCAGTCCTCACACTTAATGACACTGAAGGATCCCCAGTCACATGGTCAAAATTTAGGCACTTAGCCACTGCATGTATAGTATTCACAGCAGAGTATTTACAGCAGTTCCCCAACCTTTCTGGGTTGGCAACCCTGAATGAGGGGATGGTTTTGTGGGAGGGGGAGGCACTGTTGCTCATGCAAGTGGGGTGCAAGCGCCTGTGACCCTTGCGTGAGTGGGGCCATGAGTGTTCTGCCCCAGCTACCGACCCCAAAGAATGCAGCACACACAAAGTGTACAAACCTTAGTTTACTAAATTAAATCAGTCTTTTTCAAACAGAGGCTGTTAATTAACTTTCTTAACAGCCTACAAGAATCCGAAGAATAAATAATCGTAATCTTACTATGGTTGGCAGAAAGCCCAGAAGCAATTTGCAGAGAACTAAGATCAAGACACGAAGGAGAGTGAACAAAGTTGTTCCCTGCAAATTGCCTCAGTCGTCGTCCTTCCTTAAATAGGCTAAGAGAGTGGCCGATTAGTCCCAAGCCTTACTCTCGAGGAGACTTCCTTCTGAGGAGCCACTCCTGCCTTTTGGCAACTCTGCGTGCCCGTGCATCAAGAAGAGGCTCCTCCTCTTCATCCTCTTTACTTAAGGGAGCTTCTGGAGCTTCTGAAGGCCCTGGCTGAATCCCCGCCTCTGGCACCACATCTTCTCCAGCCTCCTCATTGTCTGACTCGAGTGCCAGCTGCACAGGCTGCTGGCGCAGCACCACACCAGCCTCCTCGCTGTTGGAATCAGCTACTAGCTGCACAGGCCACTGACGGGCCACAACAGAGCGCATCTGCAATGACACTTGACCGAGTGGGGGTGCAAGTGCCCATGACGATGCATGAGTGGGGCTCCGAGCATCCACAACAACGCTCGCATGAGTGACACCACAAGCACCTGTGATGCTTGCGTGAATGGGCTGTGATTGCCTGCATGAGTGGGACACTCATGCAAGTGGGGCTGTGCACGCGAGCACATGCACATGCACCGGCCAGCTACTCATATAGCATGGTGGCCAATAGGCCATGGCCCAGTAGCGGGCCACAGCCCAGAGGTTGGGAACTCCTGGTTTATATCATCTTGGGGTCATATGATCACTAGCTGATTTCTGACAAGCAAAATCAATGGAGGAAGTCAGATTCACTTAGCAACTATATGATTCATTTAATAACTGCAGTGATTTCCTCACCTGGGGCAAAAAAAAGCTCATAAATCGCTCCTTTTTTTTTTTTTTTTTTTTTTAATTTGATTTATATGCCGCCCTTCTCCGAAGACTCAGGGCGGCTTACAATGTGCGATTCCCTTAACAACTGTTTTGCTTAGCGATAAAAATCCTGGTTCCAATTGTGGTTGTAAACTGAGGACTACCTGCAATTGAATATTTGGCTGCAAGGAAGAACTGAGCTCTCATATTTGATCGGAGCAAAGTGTGAGCTGCTCCAGACCAGGGGTGAAATGCTCCCGGTTTGGACTGGATCGCCTGATCCGGTAGCGATGGAGGCGGGTGGTTCGGAGAACCGGTAGCAAAAATCCCTGCCCCCCCCATGTCCAGCTGAGCCGCGCAATCATCAGAGGCTTTTTTTTTAGTTTTTAAAAGCATTTATTAAATGCTTTTAAGAGCCTCTGACAATCCAAGCTGAGTTGCCTGATTGGCAGAGGCTTTTTTTCTTTTAAATGCCTCTGACGATCCCAGCTGAGTTGCCTGATCGGCAGAGGCTAAAGCCTCTGCCGATCAGGCAACTCAGCTGGGATCGTCAGAGCCTTTTGAAAGCATTTTTTTACAACCTCTTCGCCAAAGAGGTTGTAGAAAAAATGGTTTTAAAAGTAAAAAAAAAAAAAATTGGCCATACCCACCCAGTCACATTACCCCTCCCCACCAAGCCACGCTCACAGAACTGGTAGTAACAAATTTTAGATTTCACCACTGCTCCAGACCATCATTATTTCTGGTGGTCAAATATAAAATGGAAGTCTCTATTTAGGAAGGAATTACAGTCGGAATTAGCAAATATCCAGGTCTGCTCTTTAAAGCAAGCATGAACAGCCCACTGCCCACCTTTTCTGTCTGGTAGGATCTCTGACCCAACTAACTTTAATTTAAAAATTAAAATTAATGAAAGCCCAGGAGGCTTCAAAGCTATAGTTCAACTTTTGTCGTCCACCACACTTATCAAAATGCTTCTGAATATAGCCAGTATATTATTACTAAGGAGAAATTTCCTATCAGTTAGAACAATTAACCAGCGGAACTACTTGCCTCTGGAAGTTGTAGATGCTCCAACATGGAGTTTTTGAAGAAGAGGTAATGGACAGCCATTTGTCTGAAATGGTATAGGGCCGTGATGGCGAACCTATGGCACGCGTGCCACAGGTGGCACGTGGAACCATATCTGTGGGCACGCGAGCATTGCCTTAGCTCAGCTCCAGTGTACATGCATGTGCCGGCCTTCCGGGCCCACCGGAAGTCAGGAAACGGGTCGTTCCTGGTCCCCAGAGGGCCTCTGGGGGTGTGAGGGAGGCCGTTTTCACCCTCCCCAGGCTCCAAAAAAGCCTCTGGAGCCTGGGGAGGGCGAAAAACAGGCCTACTGGGCCCACCATGCCATTGCGTGCCAAAAGCAGGGGTTGCACGGGGAGGGGGGGTCGCACGTGCATGCGCAGCGGACGGGGCGCATTGAATTATGGGTGTGGGCATACGTGCGTGCGACCCTCCTGCACTCCCCCCGCTTTTGGCACGCGACGGCAAAAAGGTTAACCATCACTGGTATAGGGTCTCCTGCTTGAGCAGGGGTTGGACTAGAAGACCTCCAAGGTCCCTTCCAATTCTGTTTTTCTGCTACATAGGGATGTCTGAGCTCTATCTGTGCATAAAAAAAAATGAAAATAAGGAAGGATTGTAGCCAGCATTTGCTTGTTTATAATCTAGTGTAGGATTAGGCCTTATGTGTTTGGACTGCAGCTCTATTAATAGCCACCAGAGGGCGACCCTTGGTCTTTTTGTTGCCATCTATTGTTCACTGGGAGATTTACAGCTTAAAATAGCGGTACTGTACTATATGACTCTCATTTTCAGAATTGTGTTGTTTTTGGTGTGGGAAAAGGAAAGTTTCAAAAAGCTTTTCCGTCCCAAAGGTTAATTAAAGAGCTGCTCCTTTACACTTACTTGATACCGTCTCATTTATATAATACATTTATCCCATAATTTAGCTTTTAAATAGGGGTAAAATCAGGGGTGAAATGCTCCCGGTTCGGACCGGCTCGGGTGAGTAGGTAGCGATGGCAGCAGGCAGTTCGGAGAACCGGTAGCAAAAATCCCTGCCCCCGCCCCCCATGCCCAGCTGAGCCCTGTGATCATCAGAGCCTTTTTTCCCTTTTAAATGGCTCTGACCAGCCAAGCTCTGACATCCCAGCTGAGTTGCCTGCTAATCAGGCAACTCAGCTTGGATCGCCAGAGCCATATAAAAGAAAAAAAGTTTCTTTTTTTCTCCCCCCCCCCCTCCCAGCCTCCAGCTTGCTTACCTTAGCTGCTGATTGCATGACAATCGCAATCCATGCATCAGCAAGCAACTGAATCTCCCTGCCTGCAATCAAGCTCATCGGTGAGCAGCTCTTTCTGCCTGCCTGCCTTCCTGCCTAGACTTGTGGACTTCAACTCCCAGCAAAGCTGGCTGAGGAATTCTGGGAGTCGAAGTCCACAAGTCTTAAAGTTGCCAAGGTTGGAGACCCCTGTTCTATTTGGTAAGTTTTAAAGCTCCTTTGGGAGCTTTAAAAAAAATAGTTAATTGGGTTTTTTTTTTAGTTGTTCTTTTTTTAGACCTAGCCATTTAAAGTTTAGGAAGTTTTAAATTTAGCTGCTTTTATATAAAAATAAAAATGAAATAAAATAAAATAAAATTTGTGCAGCTTTCTGAGATTTAGTGTGTTTCTGTAGTGTTTCACTCTAACTACACAAACACACAAAATCGCACAAAGCTGTATGTGGAATTTTGTGTGTGTAAAGTGTGAAAGTTGGTTTTTTGGGCTTTTTGTGGCTGTGTGAGGTTCCTGCTTGTTGCAGGGGCCATTTTGGGTCTAGCACAGCTGCTTTTACATTGTGGGTGAGCCAGTTGTGTTGTGTTGTGTTTTGTAGGTTCAAAAAGGGCAAAGAAGTGACATTGACTTGGCCATGCCCACCCAGTCACCTTACCACCAAGCCCCGCCCACTAATTAAGCCCCGCCCACAGAACCGGTAGCAAAAAATTTTAGATTTCACCCCTGGGTAAAATGTACTGAGAATTCTCATACCGGGAACAGGAAAGTTTTGATGGGAGGCTGTCTGCCATTCAGGTGAATATGGTACCACTGTCCCCCCGCCCCCCGCTTCCAGAATCAGACTAAAATCTATGAATCAATATCTATTCAACTTTTTTTTTTTAGTTTGATTTATATGCCGCCCTTCTCCGGAGACTCAGGGCGGCTTACAATGCGTTAAGCAATAGCCTTCATCCTTTTGTATATTTATACAAAGTCAGCTTATTGCCCCCACAAACTGGGTCCTCATTTAACCTACCTTAGAAAGGATGGAAGGCTGAGTCAACCTTGAGCCTGGTAAGATTCGAACCTGCAGAAATTGCAGGCAGCTGTGTGAGATGCCAACTCTGGAACCTAAAAATTGTGTGATTGAAATCCAAGCCACTGTGGAACAAAAATGGAAGTAGGCGATTCCAATCGCCTTGGAGATTTCTGATTTCATTATTTTGGGGCCATGAAAGCTCAGAGATGAGCTTTAATTTTTGTCTTTTTTATGGATTTTTCTTTGTTGGCCTTCCTCTTGAGCAGCATCCCGAACATGGATCCTTAAAACTTCATTAGCATAAAATAATTCAGAGTTTGAATACAAAAAGCATTTCAACACCCCTATTAATCTTTATACTGAGCCTGTTAGATGGGAGTGGGCGTCAGCTGCTTTTACGTATTTGATATATAAATCCTGAAAGGAAGTGTATTGCATTGAAATAAACCAATTTTAAATTCTCATGTGGCCAGAACAGTCTAATAATACCTCACAGTGGAAGTGTTAATAAATCTCTGGTATTAAAGGATCCAAACAACAGGCCCTATATTAAATATCTAGGATGCCTAGAAAGTCCTTGTAATATTTAAAACAGGGGTGTGCAATTAATTCTACCAAGGGGTCACATGAGAAATTGGCAGTGTTGTGGAAGGTCTCTCTCTCTCTTTCTCTCTCTCACACACACACACCCCACAGGCTGGACAGGCATAGTGAAAAGGCCAGATATAGCCCCCGGGCAGTGGTGAAATCCAATTTTTTTTTACTACCAGTTCTGTGGGCGTGGATTGGTGGGTGTGGTGTGGCTTGGTGGGCTTGGCAGGGGAAGGATACTGCAAAATCTCCATTCCTTCTCCACTCCAGGGGAAGGCTACTGCCCATAATCCCCATTCCCACCCCACTCTGGGGCCAGCCAGAGGTGGCATTTGCCGGTTCTCCGAACTACTCAAAATTTCCGCTACTGGTTCTCCAGAACCTGCTGGATTTCATCCCTGCCCCCGGGATGTAAAATGCCCAGGTTTGATTTAAAGGAACATTTAAAAAAGGGATTCATATCAGGGGTGAAATTCAGCAGGTTCTGGAGAACCAGTAGTGGAAATTTTGAATAGTTCAGAGAACTAGCAAATACCACCAGGCACCATTGTCAGCTGTGAAGGCCTCCTTGCGGCCCTCTGCCAGCGAAAATGGAGCTTGGGGAGACCACAAGCTCCAGTTTTCGTTGACAGAGGATTGCAGGAGGCCGTAGCGGCCACACGCGCCCCTCCTGAGCTCCGTTTTTGCTGACAGAAGGCTAGCAAAACAAACTACTAGCAAAAGTGGCATTTGATCACAAGGCAAGGAGGCATTGAGAAATTCCTCCGTTGAGGAATTTGGGAGGCAAGTCAAAAAAAAAAAAAAAGCATAGTATTAAAGTATTGAAGCGGGCAAGGGATGATGGATAGATGATTTCCTCCCCTCTTTTTATATTGTTTTGATTCACTCTTCTTTTCCTATCTTTCACTTTTCCTATCTTGTTTTTAAAGCATAGCAATTAAAATATTGAAGCGGGCAAGAGATGATAGATGGATGATTTTTCTTTTCTGTTGTTCTTCTGAGTTGCTTTCCCTTTTCTCTCTCTCTCTCTCTTTTCCTTTTTTCTTTTTTTAAGTAGGTGACATGATTAGAAGTTAGATAAGAAGGAAAGAAAAAGTCTCTTAACAAAGGGTGATATGATTAAAAGCTAGAATAAGAAAAGGGGGAATATTAGTGTATACATTTTTATGTCATAAAATGAAAGTAATAAGAGAAAATATGGAATAATTGAACAAAGATAGACTATAACTTAATATGAGTATGTGTTATTATTAGAAATATATGAGTGGATTGAATGTAAGGATTATGATTAACTTGATTAGTTCTATTTGTATTAGAATGTATGAAACACTGTTCATGCATTGATTTGACATTTTTATAAAAAATAAACAAAAAACAAAAAAACAATAAAAAAAGAATAATTTCTTCATTGGAGACAATGGATCACCTGAGCCCTGCCCAGGCCTCCACAGGTGCCCCGACACGAATGACGTCGAGCTGGCCACATCCATCCCCCGTCTCCTCCCCCCCCCAGGCCTTCTGGGCCACCCAGAAGCAGGGAAACAGGCTATTTCCTGTCTCTAGAGCAGTGGGTCTCAACCTTCCTAATGCTGCGACCCTTTATTACAGTTCCTCATGTTGTGGTGACCCCCAACCATAAAATTATTCCTAAGACCATTGAAAATATGTGTTTTCCGATGGTCTTAGGCGACCCCTGTGAAAGGGTCGTTCGACCCCCAAAGGGGTCCCGACCCACAGGTTGAGAACCACTGCTCTAGAGGGCCTGGGGGTGGGTGAAAATGGCCTTCCCCACCCCTCTGGTGGCCCTCTCACCGGAAGTTGGCAAACGAGCCATTTCATGCCTCCAGAGGGCATCTCTGCTCCGCTCCATTGCACCCACCACCAGTCAACTGAGCTGAGATGCTGCCGCCGGTGGGGAATGCTGGAGCCTTTGCTGCTGAGAAGCTGATTGGTGGTTGGATCGGTCTCCCGGAATATGGCTGATTAGCTGTTCTAGACAGTGGAGATCGCTGCCGATGCCGATCGCTGCTGATGCTGTTCAGCGGCTGCGATCGGCAGCTGCGATTGGTGGCATTCTGGAAGGCTGATCCAACTGCCAATCAGCTGCTCTGCAGTGAAGGCTGCAGCGTTCCCCGGCGGTGGCGAAGGGCGGCAGCAGTGACAGGCAGCACCGGCAAATGCTGCTGCCGCACCAACCCCCTCCCACTGCCACAATATTCACTCTATAAGATGCACAGACATTTCCACCCACTTTTTGGTGTGGGGGGGGGAAGCGCGTCATATAGTGCGAAAAATATGGTACTTGAAAAGAAGGCTGAAATAATGCACAACAGTAGAACTAGTATGCTGTTCACCATTTATAAACCATTCTATTGATAGTCTACAGTTAGAATTTCTTGTTTCGCAGTCACATCAAATGTTTCACTAATATAACAACTATGAAGGATGCCTCCCGTGAAGGTTGATTAACATGATAGAGACATGATCATTTTCAACCTGTCTTATGAAGTCCACATTTGGACAGAGAGGACCACTGGTTTGAAAGGGGGATCAAAGAGGCCATCTATGTCAAAATTGAACAGCCCTCTCTCAACACGGGGGGAGGGATACAACACCATCTATCTCCAGTCTACAACACAGTCCTTTCAGCAGTTCCAAGAAGGCTCCACACCCATATGCACCACTCAGGTGACCCTGAGGACATAGATAAACCTCCAGTGGCCTCAACAACTTGCTAAAAGGATGCAAATGACCAGCTGTCTGCAAGGAGTATAAATCCTTCCATTCCCCACCATCCAGTCAAAGCCGAAGAAGCTTCTTGGATGAGAAGCGAAACATCTTCAAAGAAAAACCAGAAAGTCGAGTTGCATCTTGAAAAAACATCTTTGGGACCATCTTATAAAGTCACATACTATGTATGTTATTACGGTGTCTGTTATTCAGGCAACACTGAACAAGCTTGCAAATCACAATATTGTGTGGTTCATTGTCAAAGGCCTAAAACAAAGATATTGTATCATCATTCCATAATCTGCTAAAACGTTATAGCACTGAGCTCTCTGTTCTTCGATTTCTTTCCTTAGGACGCTATCAAATGATCTCATCTTCTGCTGTCCTCTCCTCTTTGGCCTTCAGTCTTTCCTAACGTCACTTTCCCACTCTTCTCTCTTCTCATTTGTACGTCCTCTCTTCTCATTTAGCGGCCAAAGTATTTGAGCTTCGGCTTCAGTATCTGTCGTTCCAAAGAACAGTCAGGGTTGAATTCCTTCAGGACCGATTTGATCTCCTTGCAGTCCAAGAGTCTTCTCTGATGCCAAAATTTGAAAGCGTCAATTGTTCGCGCTAAGTCTTCCTTACGTTTCAGCTCTCACAGCCATACCTTACAACAGAGAAAACCTTAGCTTTGAGCTTAAATTGAAAGAGACCTGATCTTTTTTATGCAGTACCATCACATGTAGTTTTAAATCAGCAATCGCAGGGTCGAGCCTTTTCTATATTCTTGGTAGGAATTTCGTGATTCCTGAACATTATCCTTTATTCTCTCACCCCGGTTATCAGCATGCACTGGGCCTCTCTTTGATGTGAGTTCTTTCATGCCTGCGAAGGTGTGTGTTTGAACTGAAGCATTTGCCACATTCCAAACACTTGTACGGCTTCTCCCCGGTGTGAATTCTCTGATGGGTCACGAGGGAGCTGCTCACGCTGAAACGTTTTCCGCACACCGAGCACGTGTAAGGCCTCTCCCCCGTGTGGGTTCTCCGGTGGGTACTGAGGTGAGCGTTCCAATTGAAACACTTCCCGCACTCCAGGCATTTGTACAATTTCTCCCCTGTGTGATTTTTTTCATGGGTGGTCAGGTTGATCTTCGTGATGAAGCACTTCCCGCACTCCGAGCATTTATAGGGCTTCTCTCCTCGGTGAATCCTCTCGTGTATGATCAGGTGAGAGCTGCGAAGGAAGCACTTCCCGCACTCCGCACATTTGTAGCGCCTCTCGCCAGTGTGAATCCTCTGGTGAGAAGTGAGGTTGCTGCTCACGTTGAAACTCTTCCCGCACTTTGGGCATTTGAACGGTCTCTCCCTGGTGTGGGTTCGCTCGTGGCGACAGAGGTGTGCGTTGGAAGTGAAGCACTTTCCGCATTCTGTACATTTGTAGGGCCTCTCCCCTGTATGGGTTCGCTGGTGTCTGCGCAAGTGTGTGTTTGAACTGAAACACTTCGTGCATTCCAGACACTTATAGGGTTTCTCTCCTGTGTGAGTGATCTGATGGGTAATCAGGGAAGAACTCTGCGTGAAACTTTTCCCGCATTCCAGACATTGATATGGCTTCTTCCCGCTGTGTGATTTCTGATGTCGGCTTAGTTCGGCTCGCTCGCTGTAGCACTTTCCGCAGTCTGAGCACTGATGAGGCCTTTCTCCTGTGTGTGTCCTTTCATGTCTCCGTAAGTGGGTGCTCGAACTGAAGCACTTTTCACACACCAAGCATTTGTATGGTTTCTCCCCCGTGTGTGTGATCTGATGCGTAGTAAGAGAAGAACTCTGCGTGAAGCTTTGGCCGCATTCCAAACATTTGTACGGCCTCTCTCCGGTGTGAGTTTTTTGATGCCGGTTCAGCTGGGCTACTTGAATAAAACACTTGCCGCACTCCAGGCACGGAAATGGCCTCTCTCCTGTGTGGTTTCGTTTGTGCAGGCTCAGTTTGGTCCTCGTGATGAAGCCTTTCCCGCATTCCAAACACTTATGGGGTTTCTCTCCTGTGTGGATTTTTTTATGCTTGATCAGGTCCGAGCTGCGAGCAAAGCCTATCCCACACTCAGAGCATTTATGAGGCTTCTCACCAGTGTGAATTTTTTTGTGCTTCAGGAGATCCGAACTGCAAGCGAAATGTTTTTCACATGCGGGGCATTCATGCGGCTTCTCTCCCGTGTGAATTTTTTGGTGTTTGATAAGATCAGAACTGCGAGTAAAACATTTGCCGCACTCTGCGCATTGGTAGGGTTTCTCGCCAGTGTGAATTCTCTGGTGGGAAGCAAGGTTACTGCTCATGCTGAAACTCTTTCCGCATTTTGAACATTTATAGGGTTTCTCGCCTGTATGGATTCTTTGATGGACCCTGAGGTGTCTTTCTGAACTGAAACACTTTCCGCATTCCAAACATTTGAAGGGTTTCTCCCCACTATGTGTCCTGCGATGGGAAGCGAGATTACTGCTCTCGCTGAAGTTCTTTCCGCACTCTAAACACGTGTACGGTTTCTCCCCTGTGTGCGTTCTCTGATGCACGCTCAGGTGTGTATTTGATGTGAAGCTCTTCCCGCATTCCAAACATTTGTATGGTTTCTCCTCCATATGGATCATTTGGTGCGTAATCAGGGCTGAACTCTCGACGAACCTTTTCCCGCATTCCAAGCATTTAAAGGGCTTTTCCCCCGTGTGAGTCCTCTGGTGTCTCTCTAAATTTGTCTTCCAAATGAAGCTTTTCCCACATTCCGAGCATTTGTACGGTTTTTCCCCCATGTGAGTGTTTTGATGCCTGCTCAGTTGTGCGCTTTGGGTGAAACGCTTTCCGCACTCCAGGCATTTATGCAGGTGGTCAGCTGTGTGGGTTGTTTTGTGCGTGGTTAGATTCGTCTTTGTCGCGAAGGCCTTTCCACATTCCGAGCACTTGTACGGCTTCCCTTCTAGGCGAAATCTTTGGTTTGTACTTGGTTTGCTTTTATCCATGATTCTCCACTTGTTACCTTAAGAGATAAAGACCAAAAATTGGTAATTGGGTCTAAATTTGTAAACTGTCCCCCCCCAAAATCACCATTTTACATAAGAAACTAAAGGCGCACCTAGCTTTTGGGGAGGAAAACAAGAAAAAAAAATCTGCCTCTGCTTCTGCCTCCCAGCAATTTGCCTCCTTGCAGCAAACAGCCTGATCAGCTTCAGCACAGCCTGATTTAGCACAAGCAGCTGATTGGCGGTTGGATCTGCCTCCCGGAATACCTCTGATCAGCTTCTTCCAGGCTGTGGGGATCACCATCGCCCATCACCACCGCCGCCACCTTTTGCTGCTGCCACCTATCACTGCCTCCGCGTGCCTCATTTTCAGCCTCCACGCATCCCGTTTTGGCCTCCACAGACCCCATTTTTGGCCTCCGTGCGTCCCATTTTTGGCCCATTCCAGGTGGCGGTGATCCCTGCTGCCTGGAATGGGCCAAAAATGGGGACCGCGGCGATAGGTGGTGGCACCGATGGGTGGCGGCAATTCTCACAGCCTGGAACAGCTGATCAGAGGTATTCTGGGAGGCAGATCCAACCTCCAATCAGCTGCTCGTGCTAAATCAGGCTGTGCTGAAGCTGATTAGGCTGTTTGCTGCAAGGAGGCAAATTGCTGGGAGGCAGAGGCCAAAGGGTGGGGGCTGGTGGGTGGGTGGGCCTTCAGCAACATTTGCTATATAAGATGCACAGACATTTCCACCCACTTTTTTGGGGGTGGGGGTGGGGGAAGTGTGTCTTATACACTGAAAAATATGGAAAGTCTATTGCTAAAAGGTGAGGGTGAATATAGTGGAAAGCTGCCCAAGGACAATATTGGGGAATACGTCTTCAGCTACTGTCACTGAATCAGAAATACTGAAAAGCTTCAACAGATGCAATGAAAAGAACGTGAGGACTTGAAATTCTGCAAATGTATTTTAAAATCGTACAATAGTTATGGGCATTGATTCCTAGGAAAGAAGCTGCCTTACCAAGAGAAGCCACGATCCCACTAATCTCCTCCATGACTTCTCTGTGCAGCGCCTTCTGCTCAGGCCCCAGCAGCGCCCACTCGTGCTCAGTGAAATGCACGGCCACATCCTCCAAGGTGAAGAGCCTCTAAAAAAAGGGAGAAAAATGTTCCTTGCTCACAGATCGCTTAGAGCAGGGATCTCCAACCCCGTAGTCCATGGACCAGCACCGGGCTGCAGCATGCCAGAAACTGGGCCACACAAATAAGCAAAGGCCTATTCGGTCCTTGGTGCCCAAAAGGTTGGAGGCCACTGACTTAGAGGTTTCTACTCTCTGCATACG